CATCGTGCTCCTGGAATGGCACGCGCAGGTCCGGAGGCGGCTGCTCCCGCTCCTTCGCCGGCAGAGGATGGCGGTGCTCGCGGCGCCGGTGGTCGCCGCCGTGCTGCTGCTCACCTGGGCGGCGTACGGCGAGGCCCAATACGTGCTGTACAAGGACGCCACCAAGCCGGTGGAGGCGCGCGTCACCGACCTCCTGGCGCGGATGACGCTCGCGGAGAAGATCGGCCAGATGACGCAGATCGAGCGGCAGGTCGCGTCGCCGCAGGTCCTCAAGGACTACTTCATCGGTGAGCATTGTTCTTCTTCAGAGACACAGCCGTCGGCCATGGCGGCGGCGGCGGCGGCGAGCTGAGGTGTTTGTTTTGCGGGTGGCGTGGCAGGGAGCTTGCTTAGCGGCGGCGGGAGCGTGCCGAGGAAGCAGGCGACGGCGGCGGAGTGGGTGAGCATGGTGAGCGACTTCCAGAAGGGGTCGCTCTCGACGCGGCTCGGCATCCCGATGATCTACGGCATCGACGCCGTGCACGGACACAACAACGTCTACGGCGCCACCATCTTCCCCCACAACGTCGCGCTCGGCGCCACAAGGCAAGCAGCTCTCCTCTCCCCAAGATTTGCAAAGCTGCTTCCATTTTTCACTAACCGAGAGATCCGGTTTTGTTTGATGTTTTTGAGCAGGGATCCGAACCTGGTGAAGAGGATCGGCGCCGCGACGGCGCTGGAGGTGAGGGCGACCGGCATCCAGTACGCGTTCGCGCCGTGCATCGCGGTAGGTCACCACCAGCCACAGTGCTAGCTTTGCTTCAACTCTCATTGGCGATGGATCGGGGGATCTCATGGCGTTGACGTTGATCAAACAACAACAGGTGTGCAGGGATCCGAGGTGGGGGAGGTGCTACGAGAGCTACAGCGAGGACCACCGCATCGTGCAAGCCATGACGGAGCTCATCCCCGGCCTGCAGGGCGACGTCCCGGCCAACTTCACCAGCGGCATGCCCTACGTCGCCGGAAAGTAAGTCCTATTCAAGAACACCTCGTGACACACAGTGCCACTCAAGTGTCTCTTTGTGTGTTCGTCCGCCTGATGAACGCTGGGTGTTCGACGAAATGCCAGGAACAACGTGGCGGCGTGCGCCAAGCACTTCGTGGGCGACGGCGGCACGCAGAATGGTGTCAACGAGGACAACACCATCATCGACCGCCGAGGGCTGATGACCATCCACATGCCGGCGTACCTCAACGCGCTCCAGAAGGGCGTCTCCACCGTCATGATCTCCTACTCGAGCTGGAACGGCATCAAGATGCACGCCAACCACGACCTCGTCACCCGCTACCTCAAGGACAGGCTCAATTTCAAGGTGAGACATCAACCCAAACCACTTGTTTCAGATTCTCATTGATGTGATAATGTAGTTTTTCAGATGTTCATCATCTTGAGTTTTGTTTGTGTTTGTGTTGCTTTCAGGGCTTCACAATCTCGGATTGGGAGGGAATTGACAGGATCACAACACCAGCAGGTTCAAACTACTCCTACTCTGTCCAGGCTGGAGTTCTTGCCGGCATTGACATGGTGAGAACACAAACTTTCTTGTCACTCTTAGTACAAGTGTGCTTGCTGTTTTAGATTCAAGCGTATTTGATTTCAAGATGATTAATTAATTGTGATGTTACTTGTAGATCATGGTGCCGAACAACTACCAGTCGTTCATCAGCATCCTGACCAGCCATGTCAACAACGGCATCATTCCGATGAGCAGAATCGACGACGCAGTGACTAGGATTCTGCGCGTCAAGTTCACCATGGGACTCTTCGAGAACCCCATGCCCGATTCGAGCATGGCTGATCAGCTGGGGAAGAAGGTAACTAGTGACACAATCTGATGCAATCAAATCATAATGTTGCTTCAATTTATTTCAGGAGATTATTGACGGTGAATTGTGAATTTGTGATCCAGGAACACAGAGATTTGGCGAGGGAGGCAGTGAGGAAGTCGCTGGTGCTCCTGAAGAACGGCAAGACAAGTGACAAGCCGATGCTGCCGCTGTCCAAGAAGGCGCCCAAGATCCTCGTCGCCGGCAGCCACGCCGACAACCTGGGCTACCAGTGCGGCGGCTGGACGATCGAGTGGCAGGGCGACACCGGCCGCATCACCGTCGGCATGACCATCCTCGACGCCGTGAAGGCGGCGGTGGACCCGTCGACGACGGTGGTGTTCGCCGAGAACCCCGACGCCGACTTCGTCAAGAACGGCGGCTTCTCCTACGCCATCGTGGTGGTCGGCGAGCACCCGTACACGGAGACCAAGGGTGACAGCTTGAACCTGACCATCCCGGACCCCGGGCCGAGCACGGTGGCGACGGTATGCGGCGCCGCGCAGTGCGCCACGGTGCTCATCAGCGGCCGGCCGGTGGTGGTGCAGCCGTTCTTGGGCGCCATGGACGCGCTCGTCGCCGCGTGGCTGCCGGGGACCGAGGGGCAGGGCGTCACCGACGTGCTGTTCGGCGACTACGGGTTCACCGGCAAGCTGCCGCGGACGTGGTTCAAGTCGGTGGACCAGCTGCCGATGAACTACGGCGACGCGCACTACGACCCGCTGTTCCCGCTCGGATTCGGCCTCACCACCCAGCCTAGGACCTACTAGCTAGCTTAGCTGCAGTGATAAGGAGATATAGGAAAGATGAAAATTTCACTAAATGGGAATTCGTACTCCCTGCCATTGTTTCCCTTGATACTATTTTTCTCTGTTTTGGTGTATGCTCGATCCTCATTGGCGAGCATAATGAGGATCAATTTGATTATGAGAAATTCCATTTACACCAAAAATGGCTTCGTCTCGATGCACCATAAATTGCGTTTAAAATGTCCAAACCTTTCTAAAGAATAATGGAGTAAAGATATTAATAAGCGGAATAAGTCCACTTTGACTCCCTTAAAAGCGACCCGAATCTAATTCATGACCTTGCACTGCAAAACCAGATATCTTGACCCCTAAACTGTTAAAACCGGTGCAATTTGACTCCCTCAGCAGTTTTGGAGAGCGGTTTTGCTGACGTGGCGCCTACGTGGCGATATTGACCGAATTTTCGTTCCACATGGCGTTGACGTGGCACTTATGTGACATTAAAATTAAAAAATATACGTGGGACCCATTAGTCATTCACACAAAAAGAAATGTGGGCCACTGCCATGTGGGGCCCACATGTCAGTCCTCCCTGTCTCATTGCTTCTTCCTCCATCTCTGCCTTCTCTCTCTTTCTCTCCCCTTCTTCTTTCCCTTCGGCCGGTGGTGGCGGTGGTAGAGAAAGCGGCGGCATCAAGCCGCGAGTAGGGAAGGAGGTGGGCGGCGCGGCTCACCGCGACTAGCAGGGTGGGCGACATCAGGGTGGTGCCGGCAGAGCGATGTGGCCGCGGCGGGGGGATCCCGGCGAACCGCCACAACCTTGCGCATGCTGCTGGGAACCGACCGATAAGTGCTTCGATTTTTCCCCTCGCCGGAGTTCATTTCTCGCTGCCGCGGCCGCATCCCGAAGCCTCCGTCGGTTTCACGGTTGCGAAGGCGAAGCCGCGGAGGGTGGGAGGAGAGCGAGAGGAGGAAGAATAGTCGGCCTGGTTTGCGTTTCCGCTTCCGCTGGGTGTCACCAATCCAATCCCTAATCCCGTGCTTCTTACTCTCCGCCATCTCCATGCTACGTTCCCTATGTTCCAAGTGATTGTCGATGGGGCTTTCTATGATTTTTGGTTAATCTGTATGTTACTTGTTCGGCTGTGATATCCATCTCTTTTGCAAATTATACCACTATATCATGTAACGCTTAATCACATTCGTGAGCTAACTTACATCTCACGGTGGTAATATGGATTGTGCATCTCCTCATATAAGTTGTTCTTCTACTCATTGAGCTTGCTTCTTCCACTTCAGGTGTGCAGAGAAGGGGCAAGCAACATCTGCACAAACTCTGCTGGAGGCATTGTCTATGATTGCTGATTCCTCATCCTCTTCTTAGCCAAAGGCATTAGCGGTAGCTCAGGATACCATTGAGTTCTCCGAACCATCAGGACGCTGCCTTTCCTTGTCTCCTGTCTCACGCATTTGGTCCCGACTGATGCGTCAATGGGGATGGCGGCGGGCAGGAGCAAGCCGATGGCGGCATCAAGTAGCGAGCGGGGGAGGAGGTGGTCGGCGCGGCTCACTGCGAGGAGCAAGGTGGGCGACATCAGGGCGGCGCCGGCAGAGCGATGTGGTCGTGGCGGCGGGGATCCCGGTGAGCCGCCACGCCCTTGCGCATGTCCGACTTGGAAGGGGAGAGAGAGGGAAGGGAGAGAAGGAGGAAGGGAGACACGGAGGACTGACATGTGGCCCCACATGTTAGTGGGCCCACATTTCTTTGTGTGAATGACTAATGGGTCCCACGCATATTTTTTAATTCTAATGCCACGTAAATGCCACGTCAACGCCACGTGGAACAAAGACTCTGTCAATATCGCCACGTAGGCGCCACATCAGCAAAACCACCCTCCAAAACCGCTGAGGGAGTCAAATTGCATCGGTTTTAACAGTTTAGAGATCAACATATCTGGTTTTGGAGTTCAGGGTCACGAATTAGATTCGGGTCACTTTTGAGGGAGTCAAAGTGAACTTATTCTTTAATAAGCAGATGCACACATATAGGGGTACCGACCTGGCCCGTTGATCTTCTATGAGAGGCAGCATGGGCGTGAAGGCGGCAGCGACGGCGGAGAATCTTCAGACCGACGCGGCAGCGCGATAGAAAGAAGCGATGCGCGCGGTTGCACAAAGGAGAGGGGGGCGAATTCGTGCCTGGCCTTTCTCGGGCATGTTGTGGGCCGTCCAAGTCTCTGATCGTCTGCCATGCCGAAGCAAACCCACAGCATCCCGAATTGATGTATTGCTCCTCAAGTCCAAATTGAATCCACACAGAAATGACAAGAGTACCACATTGTGCAACCAAAAAAGTTTTTTTTTTTCTGAGAAAATTTCTTCTGAGGTGAATTTTGAGGGTTCATCTATTTTTCATGAACGGTAATTTGGCAGACCTTGCCGACGAACAACCTCGTAAACAACCCATTTTTAACAGAACAACTGGGCACCAGCCAAAGTCGTCACATTACGCGTGCGAGCATCAAGAAGTAGCAAAAGAGCATGGCCCGTTCAAAAATTAACGCCTAATCTACCTCCTCTAGATTAAAGAGGAGGTTCACTTGCCGTTCTAGTCATTGCTGTTATGGGCACAAGTGATATTTACAAATATACAGTAACACCCTTCGGGATATTCTTGAGCTTTGCCAGATTCTTACCATTTGCTGGTGCCCATCCCCGTCCAAAATAAATATGTTCCGGGGTTCTTGCGCGAGCGGCTGCCGATCCAAAATCTTGTCCTGCACTCTTTCGGAGTGACTACCTCTTTGCATAAGACAGATAAGGTTCTTGAGCGATGGTTAGAACGTCTGGTCTTTCTGCTTGGTTGTATGTCAAGCAGCGACGAATCAGTTCCTGCGAGTTTTCAGGTGATGCAGGGTCAAACTTTTGCCAAACTATGTGCAATGTTATTTAAACTAGTGTGTTGAGGGACAAAAGTTTAAACCAAACGGACAGCCTCAAAGGCACAACATGGAAAATATAGTAAAAGGGATCAATCTAACTGATGACTCTGAAATCAGAGATAACAGTAAACATACCTTTGCCTCATTTGATACAGCTGGCTTTGAAGGGAATTCCACTCTGCGTGCGTTGATGATTGTATCTTCCCGAAGTATTCTCTCCTGGGTCTGGTCATGGCCAAAAGGACGCCTTCCGAAGAGCATTTGGTAAAACATTACACCCGCTGACCAAACATCCACCTGCAGGAATGCAAACATCAATTTTACCACCAATCAGAACAAAGATGAAGTTGCCCATAAGTGGTTTAAATTGATTACTCAGGGGGTTCACAAATGACTCTAACTGAAATAAGGGTTAAGAAGGAATCGCGTAACATTTTGAGTAAAAATTGCATATCCACATGGCCATTGCCTGCATACCACTAAGCCCAACCAGTATTCCCCATCCCCATCAACAGCAGATCAATTCACCACCTGTGACCTGCACCTTCCTGCTCTTGCACCTCCTTCTGAAAACTAACCATCTGCACGGCCATTTCCCCTGGATCTGTCCAATGGGAACTACTATCAGACTGATCTATTTGGCACATAATTGTCTCGATATTGACACAATTTAAGCTGTGCATGTGAGTTTCTTGATAGTTTTCCCTGATTTTCCTCATTCGCCACCTCTTTCCTGTTCTGTATTAAGTAACACTCTCATGATGTTGATCTTCTTCCTATTTTCCATAGTGCAAGAATTGGACTGGACGGTGGTAAAACTAGAAATGATCTGAACCAGTGAATGGTCTGGTTTGGCTTAGAAGAATGTCGGTCCATGTATACGAACTACGATAAAACCATATCCAGTCCTACCAGCTCACAGCCTAAATGCAAAAAAATAAAAATAAAAAATGTTATGTATGCTGGGAATTGAACCCTGCAACTAGGACAGGCCTTGCAAAGTACTCCCACAATGCATCTAAGTACCTAACCAACTGGATAATGGTGATTTCCTCGCTTTAATGACAAACGAGTATATTCAGCCTGTTATTTTACTTACCAAACTGGCAAAACTATTATTTTCTCAAATCAGCATTTGGACCGGTGAAGTGCAGTCCAACTGGCAAAAAGCAGAACCAAGGAGCTCACTAACTCAATCAATGGTCCAGGTTTTTGTACTACGAAGTATATTCTTTCTGAGGTTTTCAAGTATGGATAGAAAGCTCATCTTCTCTACTTATCTCCACGTAGTGTCATAGCGTTCTCAATGCCCGTCAAAATACATCTTATAATTTGTACCAGAGGGAGTAATGCTAATATCATATTAACATACTAGGGATTACTACTTAATGAATGCTGAAAATTTGGCAAGTGAGCATGATTTGCGCATGACTGCGGTCTCTGTTTATGACAAACAAACGCCACAAGAATCCCTAACATCCTTATAGAAGGATCTTATTGATGCATGTTTTTGTCAAATTGCTTTAACACACTAAGATATGAAAGATTTATTAACATTAAAAGGAAAACATGTTGCCAAATATACCTTCGATGAGATAAATGGCGTTTTGCTAAGATCAAAGCATTCCGGTGGCAGGTACCTGGAAGAAAAAGAAGAACATTAGGAAACAAATGATTGACATGCCAAAAGAACAATGGTTCTAAATGGGAAACAGCAACACTAACATAAATAAAAACTAAATTTATGACATCATTTGTTCTATCCCACCTGTTTACATAAGACACTAGAGAAAAAAAATATTTCATTGGTAGATAGTAGCATGAAAATGGTTGTACTTCATGCAATAACTATTAATTCCCTTAGGTTCTAGAATGATGCATCAAATGTGTGCAACTCTACTACACAGTGCAGGCATTGTTGCACCATGTATACCAATTTAATGCCAGCAGATAAAAGATTCCATAAGAGGTAGTCAGATAGAGTATTTTATCAATTTAGTACACAGAAATCAACCGGAAAAGTGAGCACGCTCACCAATAGGTTCCAGCTCCCTGAGAAGTCAGTTCCATTCCCTGAGACCCAACATCATCCTCCACTATCTTGCTGAGGCCAAAGTCTGTAACTTTTGCAACACCAACCTCATCGAAGAGAACATTGCCTGGTTTGAGATCATAGTGAATGATCTTTTGAGTTCTCTTGTTAAGATAAACTAGGCCTTGAAATATTTGGACAATTATGATTCTCGCTTCCTTTTCTGGAAGAATCGGTGTTGCTTTAAGGACTGCATCAAGATCTTTGCCTGCATAAAAGGTAGCAATTGATGTAGCATTATTACATGCCAAGGTCTCATGAACAATTAAAGATACTACAGCATGCCACTTAAAAACAACCTCAAAGGGCCTATTCAGGTGTATGCCTATTCGAAGATAGCAACAAAAAAGTAAGAAACCTCTATCATTAACCAATTAGAGCCAATTAAGCTTCATTAATTTTTATGTTCACCGCCTTAAATAATGACCTCATTATCCATCAGATATCAGTCAAATATTCATGCCCCATCCTGGCTATGTGCGTGCTTCTTACGTAAGTGATTGAACATGGTGGGTTTGCTTATGTGTCCCACATGATAATGTGCCATGAATGCACAAACTGATCCTATGGTAAATGATTCTAAAAGACAACTAAATGAGTGTGGAAGTTATAAATGTAACAAACAGCTACTGAATCTACAGAACTATTATAAATGCTCTTTCATGTCAACATTCAGGCAAAATTTATCTACTCTCTTCACCAAGAACAACCTAATTAAGATTCCTACTAATAATGAAATGAAATGCAGCTCTCCTGCGTTTTCGAGAAAAAAAAAAGATTCCTACTAAAAGAACAGAACAGTTCCGCAAAGAGATTGAATGTTTGACACAGAAGAGTGCCTGGAGAACATCAATATATATCTGGCATAAAAACAACACCCATGCAGCCTTATCTATACAATGAAGCCAATGGGAGATATTTATAAAAGAGGCCGCACGATCTACATTGTCATGTCAAAGAAATTTGGAAGGTCGTTGCGAAAATAAATTTGTTGTACCACTGCAATATTCTAGGACAGTGCAGAATGTGTTGTGATCAATCTCAAATATGTCCCATAGCCTGACAATGTTTGGATGCACCAAAGTCTTATGGATGTTATATTCACGAATGGCGTGGCGTATGTAGCTTTGCTTTTTCTCCTCACTCCACTGAGCATTCAAACCATGAAGCTTACATGCCACATACTTGTACTCCACCAAATCAAATGCCTGCAGAAAGAAACTGTCTCACGTAAATGCTGGTGATACCAAAATTGAATCCTCTATGAAACAGATAAAGATACTATATCAATAAACATTGAGGTAACTTCACCAAATGAAGCTCAAAACACTAGTTAAATGCTTTAACATGAATATATAAGTACCAAAGCTATTATCGAAAACTTTACAAATCTTGACAGAGGAAGTGTACGGGTCAAGGAACATTTGATGAGAAAACTGTAATACTACATGTGTGTTATCAGTTGTTCTACTCAATGTTTAATTCCAAACACCAAGTTTCAGATATTTGTTTCAATATATCTAATTTCCTCCACTTTGTTTCATTTTTTTATGACTTCTTCCTACATTTCTACCTTTTAGGCCATTTCGGGTGGGACCCACTGCAGCCCACCGATAGGGGCTTACCTTCTTTATGTTACATTAATAATTGTGTGTATCAAAGTCATAAACAAATAATCATAAAGTTCGATGTTTCTTCTTTATAAGCAAAGAAGCAGTTGGTATTTAAAGAGGTCATGACTGACCTTAGTTGAATAGTTTTTGAAAAGTAAAGCTGAAGCAAGGGCATACCTTATAAACCTCACTAAACCCTCCCTTTCCAAGAAGATTTAACAGAGCGTAGCGATTGTGAAGAATCTGAAAGTTATTAAAGCGTGATCCATCTTCGTCTCTGAGACGCTTCATTTCACGTATAAGCCTACCCTTTTCCAATTCATACCGATCTCTTTCTCTCAAGTACTGTTCTTCCTCCTAAAATACAGTTCAGGGGAATTAGATTAAGGAAGGAGGATGCTTAATAGCCAAAAACAATAATCAGCAAAGTATTTTACCCGCTTTATACTTGTTAACCGTGATTTACATATCTCATCCTGCAACAGGACATCTTCCTCAGACATGCTAGTTTCAGCATCACTGCCATCACCCTTATCTACAATACAAAAGTGGCTAGCAAAAATAAGTGCCAGCAAGAATCCTAACTTGCATACTTAAGCTGCTATGCGTTGCTAGTTTCTGCTTGTGTAAATGCGGGGAGTTTTCCTTTGCACTAAGAAGAATGAAATGGAGTAACATATGCGCAAAACTACATAGATTGTAATGGCATTTATAATCTTCCTTTTCATGGAATAAAAGGTCATGCACTGGAGTTTTCGCCTAACCAATGGAAGCTAATTCAAGTGGTACCTTGTAAAGCAATTAAGCCGGGAGATGACAACACTTTTAAAAAAGAAGAAACTTTACCGGATTGTCTTTTCTTTAGTGATTTTCTATGTCTCTCGATAGTTTCTTTAGTCTCCAGCAGAGATTTCTACATAAAAGTCCACCATACATGAGGGATTCAGCAAAAGGTCCACCATACATCAAGAATAAAGGTTAAAGGCACATAAAATATATGAATAGCAATAACACTATAACAGTTCACAAGAGAAAAAAAACTGTGCCTGATAAACAAATGCACAACTATAGGAAATCTAAAATCAGTTGCATTAATAGCAAGCATTTGTCTTCATGGATACATGGCTTCTAAAGTTGCAAAACAGGAACTGTGCCTTAATGGATGAAGCTTTATAGAAAGTGGTACTGCATGTCCACGACTCCACGTTACATCAGTAGACTCAGCCTGATCCAGACATGTAATATTTTTCATGCCAGCTTGGTGCTTAACTGCTTAATTGAATAGATAGATATATCTTATAATCTTTTTGGACTTTATTGACCTAAGGCTGCTAGTAATGTGTGGCTGTGCTCAAAATTGTACAAAAAGCTTATGGAACAAAGATGTGTCCATTATTAGTATCTGGTAGTTTTAAAACTAATCGCCTTATAGGGGGGAAAAGACCTAGACAGGTTATCCAGATCAAAGTATATGTGATCCAATTTTACGGCGGAACACAGTTAAGGCATATACACAGATCTGCAGAACTTACAAGGTGAGAATTAAGATCCTTTATTGCCTGGCCATCCTCCCATGTTTCAGATATGACAGTTCCAGCTCTGAGTTATGACAGAGAGCAGTCAAAAAAAAGGTAGCAATAGATAGTCAATAACCAGAACATAAAACTGAAAGTGACTAGTTCTGTCCTGCAATCAAAATTTTAGTAGTCGATACTAGAAGGTACACTGCATAATACATAAACTGAAGGCTCAAGCTACCACAGCTGTTTCTGGAAGAAAATTGGGTATCGTACAGGCTATCATAGATGTATAGCACTCCAATGCTATAGTTAACAAGAACCACATAGCAAAGAAATACAGTACAAGCAAAAGGAGCTTTAAATCTATCATTATACATTTTCAAATCAATTAATATATAAATTTTTACTCTTTAAATTAAGTGATGGATGTATGGAAATGTTGGAGATTACCTCATAACACCAACGTTACCAAGTCGGAAAGATTCCTGCTTTATTCGAATCCGTGCTTCTTGCCGCTCTGCTTTTGACACAGCTATCAGCAGATCAGATAGAACCTTCAATTGCTGCAATAGTGGAAATCACCATATGAGCATAAATATTACATAGTCAGGGAGTAGTTATTATTCCATGAATAGCATGTAGGACTAAGTCCTCTGAGCTGTGCTGATGAAAGAGAACAAATAGTACACAATATGGTCAGCCTGACCTCACTATGCACCCATCTCAGCCTCCAAAGGTACACACACAAAGCAAAACCAACTATCACATTGCACATGCTCATATGTACACAATCACATAACAGTTCACAAGGATCCCATATGCAACAATGTGCATAACCTTCTCTACCAATGTAATCAGGAAAAAAGTTCTTGCATATATGAAATTTGACAGGTTCTGGTATTCAAGATCCAATGCAAATAGAAGAATGCAAATCGTTTCCCAAATTATTCAACAATGATAAGCTTGAGTGGTGAACTCTAATTTTTTTGGTAAATTTGTCTAATTTATACAAAGGAAAGAACAAAAAGTAAGTAAACAAATATGGTTAGATAAAAGATAATAAGAATCTGCCACTATAGCATCTGAGTTTCTTAGGATGAAACCTTTGATTTCTTTTGTTGATCTTGTTCTTTGAGATCCTTCAATTCCTGGAAGAATGAGGCAAAACCAACAAGTCAGAGACCTGGATAAGTCGAGATCACATTAGGGTGTGCATTGAATAACTCCATACCTTCGCTAGCCTATCACTAAGTTGACGGTATTCCGTGGACTCTTGACGCGATTTAGAAAGCTCTTCTTCCAAAATAGCAACTTTACCACGCAGCAATGACAACTCTTCCTGTTGAAATATTGAATGGATTTGCTTTAGATTTACATTTGAGAAAGAAAAGACTCTTAACATATTTATCTGGTATATTATACATTATTAGTATCTATAACAACCTATATGATATGGCATGCTCCAGTACAATATTTCACATAAATATGTTCATGCTTTCTGTAGAAGATTACTTAATGGAATTAAGATGCACAGTTTAAACAAACAAATGAAAGCAAATAAAAAAGGTCATCTCAAAGAAGAAGGGTCAAGAGGGATAGACATAATCTATCAGAGAACATCTATGTTACTATAATAAAGATCAGAAGAGGGATATTCACAGTGCACCTCACAGAAAATGATGTAAAGAAAGTGTCACCTGTAAGGCAGCCTTATCATCATTGCCAAGCACAGCACTGGATCGGGATTCCTGATGGAAAGATACTAACAATTTAGAAGATGAGGATGGATCATCATGTAGTAGGTTGCCATCATACACCTGATCTGCGTAAGATATTTCTTTTGCATATAATGGAAGACGGGACGGTGCAAACAGAAGAAGTGTGTCCCCATAAGGATTCAATTGGTACTGTACAATAAATATATGTGCAAGAGGCAAACATAATGCACCGTAACTACCTAGAATCTGAGTTGCTGCAAATGAATTCTTCAAAAGTATCAGAGATAATTTGCCCTAAAATAGAAAAGCCCCAGAGATAACCATATCTTGATCACATAATGCATGATCCTTTGGGGATCATCATAATAAGATTGTTAAAATCAAATCAGTCCAAACTTATCTTCAAACTATTTCACCATTTTCATCTACAAAGGAATTTCACCATTTAATTCTTTTCCCAGTCAACAAAACTCTAAATTCAATCATGCTATTCCTGCTCTACACGCATTTGTACGTGCTCTGGATGATCACTTCTTATATATATATATATATATATATATATATATATATATGTAATTTGCACCGGTTTGAAAACTAATTCTTCTAGTGCTCATATTTGCTACAAGATCTAATTCAGGCATTCAGCATTATCCAAATGACCAAGATATATCCATAAACATGTGCACTTTATCGTAATAAAATCCTATGTATCTAAAAATATTGAAAGGTAGCAAACTAAGATATATCAATTTCCGTTCGCTTTCATGTCTCTCTTATATGGTTGTAAGGCCTTAATACCCATCTGAGAACAAAAGGTTAAGAATATCAACTGAGGTCTTGAGAATAAAATACACAGCATACCATGTTGGTTAAAATATCATGTCGACCATTTGCTACAACAGCAGATGAAGTTGAAGTTGCTCTTGTTTGATCTACAGTTTTTGAACCACGCCCTCGGCCTGCTCCACCGCGCCCCCTTCCACGGCCTTGCTTTTTTCTGTTTGAGATGTCTATGGATGGCCGTGTGTCCATGACTTCTGAATGCTTTACCGCCTCATTAGCTGATCCCTAGCATTTTCAATGAAAGAGTGCACCAAACAGAAGAATGACAAGAGTGAGCCATAAGCAAGTACAACAAAGACTATCCCATACTATTTAATTCTATCGATTTCATATTGCATACCTCAAAATTTCCAACAGCTAGGCCGTGATCACCATCTGGCGATCTCGGGCGCTTCAGTATGTTCTTCTGTATCAAGAACTCCTCGCCATTCTGATTTACGGAATGCAAGTAGCATTAGCAGGTATAAGCAAAAAAAAAAAACAAACAAACTAGAGGTGAAAATATTGGCAAATCTGTAGCTAGAAACAATTAATCAAGCTAATCATACAGGTTTACCACAGTATACACTATAAATGGCTCCAAGCACTAAAAAGCACAATCATCGCATCACTGTCGAAAAGTAATGTGCAAGTAAGGAAATCGATGGAGATAAATATGACACTGTACTGTAGTTGAGGGGGAAAGGAAAATAGCAGGTTGGAGTTCGAGGTTTAGGGCTGACATCATCGTCGGAAGAGGAGGACTCGGGCAGCTCCTCCTGGTCCATGAACGTGGTGGCGGGGGCAGAAGGAACCACCAGATGGTGCGGCGGCGGCGGTGATGGCACCGGAGCGGCCTTGCCAGCCATCCGTGCCTCCAGCTTGGCGAGCTTGGACGAGGACGGGTTGGAATTAGACGAGAGGTGCTGCACTATATCCTCCCCCGCCGCCGACGATCCCGACATTGCCGCCGCTGATTGCACCCAAACCGGATCGGCCGCCCACGAAGCTTCCAGAACAAGCAAACCAACCGCCGCACGCACGCGCCAACTCTCACTACGCCCCCGCTCCCCCCGAGCACACCCTCCTCAACGCGGCCACGCGAACCACCGGATGGATCTACCCGCGGCTGCTCGACGAACAGGCGATGGGCGGCGGCGCCGCCTCGGGCGGAGGAACGAGCGAATGAGACCGACCAAAACGGAGCCGCGGCGGGCAGTCGCTGCCTCCGCCTCCTCCCCTCCTCCCGCCTGTTGTTGACTCCTCCCCCGCGTGCGGCGACGGCTAGGGTTTACCGGCGGCGAGGTGGTGGCCCTGGGGCGGCGGCGCCGCCGACCAGAGGACGCAGGATTCGGAGGCGAGTTGGAATTCACAGGATTTTACACAGGCGCAGGCATCTCTCTCCTCTCCTTTTCCTCTCTCCGCTCTTCCTGTTCTTCCCCCGTACTCCTACGCCGCGACGCCACTACGCGCAGCGGAATAACGGGAACTCAGCCCGCCTCGGCCCACCTAGGCCCATTTATTCCAGCCCATTGAGGCCCATGGGCTCGTCGTGTCGTGGTGGAAAGTTCCTTACAAGCGCCGCCTCTATCGGAGAGGAAGGCGAAGAGTGGGGAGTGGGAGACAACAATGGCGAGCGGTGTGGAGGAGAGAGTGAGGGGCGAGGTGAGAGGGGAGGAGGATGACCGGCCGCAGCTGAGCGCGGCGGCGGCGGAGGCGCTGCGGGAGTTTCTTCTGGAACAGGGGCGGGACGGTGGGGAGGAAGGGGAGGAAGGCGGCGGCGGGGTGGAGCTGGTGGCGGAGGACTGGCGGCTGAGCCAGTTCTGGTACGACGAGCGCACGGCGCGGGCGCTCGCCGAGGAGGTCGCCCGCCTCGTCTCCCTCTCCGGCCCGGCCTCCTCCGCAGCGGTGGCCTGCGTCGCGTGCCCGACGCTCTACACCTACCTCAAGACGAGCAGCCCTGATGTGACCGCGCAGCTGCTGGAGTACGACGTGCGGTTCGGGCAGTACGGCGGCGACTTCACCTTCTACGACTACAACCAGCCGGAGGAGCTTCCGGCGGCGATGAAGCACGCCTACCGGATCGTCGTCGCCGACCCTCCCTACCTGGTATGCAGAGAGAGATTCTCCCTCTTCTTCTTCTTGATTTATATTCGATTGGACTAAAATGTTAGAAGAAATTGCGATTGGTTGTTCGTGCAGAGTAAGGAGTGCTTGGAGAAGGTTGCCAAGACGGTATCTTTCCTCGCACATCCTGAAGGCTCATTCCTGCTGTTACTGACAGGTAACTGAAGCTTGTGATAATTTCGTGTCTGGTTAATGCCATTGGTCTCCAAGATTTCTTTCGTGATGATTGTAAATTGATTAGTCTTGATGATTGGATCATGTTTCTGCAATCAAGTGTATCAAACTAGAGCAAATTGTTGCCGGGAGGTTAAGTGCCCATTAACTGGAACTGCTTGAAATGATTTGATATGCACTACTGATTAGGCTATAAGTGTGTGTAAACTAGGGCGCGAGAGTGGCATATTCAGTTGAAGGCTTGTAGTAGCTACTGGGGTATTCTCTATAACATCATGACCTTCTTGTTGTTTTCAAAGCAAAACATCGTCTGCTCTTCTTGTATGAAATCAACGTACTGTACTACAGTAGCTTAGTCTGCATATCATTGTCATCTGATGTGCACTAGTTTACGTAAATTTAGTATCCCTGTTTTTATGTTCAGTATTGTGATATGGTGGATCACATGCCTTGTCTTCTGGTATTTCTGGTTTTAAACTCTGAAATGCATAGTTCAAATCAAGTTATTTTTCTGTAACAAGTTTCTCGTGTTTTGCCAGGGGAAGTTCAGAGGGACAGGGCATTTGAGCTCCTAAATGTGCGTCCCTGTGGATTCAAGCCTCAGCATTCAAACAAGCTAGGAAATGAATTCCGCTTGTTCACAAATTATGATCCCGAAGATAGACTTGGCGGTTGGGAGCAAAATGATGGCGCTACCGTTTAGCTGTTTCAAATGTTCAAGTCTTGATGCCTAGGGATGGATTCATGCTTTCACAGTTCCTGCATTTTTGTTTGTAGGTCACTGAAGCAATAGCATCAGTAGGAATCTCGGCAATGTTTTACTGAATCCCTGAATCTGTCCGTTGTGATGTGTTTGTTGGATTAAACTTTACACAATGTACCCCTTTTAGTTTCATGATTGTGCTTAAAGGATTTGTGGTTTCTTGCAATGTTCGGCCTTCGAAAGCAGTGATTTGGGGCATGTAAGCCGTGTTTAGGGTAACAACTTCATCACAAGAACCGAATATTTTGAGGGCGTCTTTTCTGAATGAGTGGTTTCACACTGAACAAGAAGGAAACATTGCAGTTCTATATCCACAAGTACTACTCATGTATTTGCTTCAGTTTGCAGTTTTGCACATTACATCTACACAGGAGCTCAGAAGCTTCAACGGCAGTTCCATGTATTAGTTTCAGTTTGCACGTTGCATCTACATAAGAACTGCCAGCCTCAGAAGCTTAACATATCCTTTTATTTTCAACACAAGTAATAACAGCAGCCACCGGCTCCATGAGTAATCAGTAGCAAAAGATAGCCAAGTCTTCACTTCACAGGACATCCATCAGGCAGCAAAGGAGCAGCAGATCGAGTTCACTTGTCGTGCGCCTTGGTGGGCTTCACGACCAGCACGGGGCAGCACGCGTGATGGACGAGGTAGTCGCTGACGCTGCCCAAGAACGCCCTGCACAACGAAGAAAGCAAAAAATGTCACAACCGTTCGTTCGATTTCGCGGCGTGGGCGTGTGTACATGTGGATTGATTTGAGCGCAGTTTTTACCTCTTGATCTTGCCTAGGCCGCGGCTTCCCAGGACGAGCATGTCGGCGTGCATCTCCTCCACGGCCTGGCAGATGGCCTCCTTGGCGTCGCCCTCCACGATGGCGCCCGTCGCGCTCACCTGCATGCATCGCTATCGGTTAGAATTTTCAGATCGCTATACGTGAACACTAGCGCTGGCTAGGCGTGCTTGCCTCTCTCTGCTTGCAGACGTCGAGCGCGCGCGACACGACCTTCCTGGAGATCTCCTCCTGCGCCTTCCTCATGGACTCGATCGCCGAGGCGGGGGCGTAGGCTATGGCTGCTTCCGTGACACACGCACATGTACACGCCGTGTCAGTCTCGTGAAATGCGAAGTGAACTGGTAAAAGTTAACACTAGTTTGTATATATGGTCTAGCCGGTGTGCTGACATCCGATACCGTGCGCGGCGACGGGGTAGACGAAGTGGTCGGGGCCGTGCTGCGCGTGGACGACGACGACCGAAACGGCGCCGGCGCGGCGCCCGATGACGTTGTCCAGCGCCCACGACAGCGCGTTCAGGCTCTCCTCGCTCGCGTCCACGGCCACCACCACCTTCATCGTCCCCGCCGCCGCTCCCGGCTCCCCGCTCGTCGCCGCCGCCGCCGCGGGAGACGCGCCCTTCTCCTCCATCTCGCAGTCGCTCTCTCACTAGTTTACCTGTCGCGCCGTGTGTTCACGGTTCACTACCACCAGATGATCGATCACACACACACTCCCGTGTCCCGTGCTCTATATATATACGCGCACAGCCACAGAAGGCGCCGGGGTTGCGTCGTCCCCTGTTTTGTCGCGTGGACGGCGCGGGATAGAGATGACCGGCCGGAACCCACCCACCGCCACGCGCGGGGGCGGCCGTTTTTGTTCGCTACTTGGGGCGACACGTTTCTCGCTTTCTCCCCTTCTCCTGCGCGCGTTTGCACCTTTGCGTTCGTCTCATCTGGCTTCCCCCCGCATGGTAAGCATTCATCCCTATCCCTCCCTCCCAGGATGTGCGATCCGGACAGCTGCCCCCGGTTTCGCTGCACCGGCGCCATGCGTGCCGCATGCGTGCCAGGGCGTACAAACACATATACATCTTGCCAGTTGCCACCGCACCGGCAGCATCTCTGCATCAGTTGTTGCGTTGAGCTGGTAAGGGACAAGGCTACCTGCTGATTTAGTTTTCTGGATGTGTGTTGCGTTTGTTCAGATCACCGTGGCACAGGTTTGAGTTCTTGGCACTCCAATCTGCATGCATGATGCGTGCTTGTAGCTGTATCCAAGGAGGAGATAGTGCTGAATAAAGGATTTACAAGGCAGCGAGGGTGTGTATAGTTCACACCAAAATTGAAATTGAAAGTTTAGTTAAAATTGAAACGATGCGACGAAAAAGTTGAAAGTTTGTGTGTGTAAGAAAGTTTTGATGTGAAAGAAAAATTGGAAGTTTGAAGAAAAATTTTGAAACTAAACTCGATCGGCCTGAATGAGAGATTTCACTCCCACACAAGTCAACTGAGAACATCGTCGATGGTTCCAATCCGAATATCACCGCAGTGAGAAAACACATCAACGTTGCCGGATTTCACACCAAGGAATTGGAGGTTGAATCTTACAGTTCACACAAGGTATTTGACAAGAAAAGTTTGGTGCTAAAATTGGTTGGTAGATATGGCGTACAAGATACCATCACTGTGCCAAGCGCTAAATCAGGCCCAAAGCTGTCCATACATAAGTACATTCTCAGTGTGTTTCTCCAGAAACGGCATACTGAGCATCTCAAGCAAAGGATAGGAAAATACTTGAGAATTGTACCAAATACAGGAAAGAACACACCTCATCATTCTATAAAGCAACATATAAAACCATACAAGAATGACTAGGTGGCCAGCTTTTCTTCTCTGATCATACGCGTACCGCACTAATCATCTTCCAAATGTGCCAAACTGAATCACGCTAAGCATTACGGCAAAGACCAGTTTCCTGCCTTGAACTTTCTGTAAAAGGTGGATTTTCTTGAAACAACAAAGAACACTGCAAGCAAAGAGATGGGGTCATTAAATACTCCGGATTTATATGTAATATGTGAAATCGTTCAAGGAGAGAGGAACCAGACCAGGAATTGCAGGGATGATGAAGTCTTTATGCTGCAGCACTTCTTGAAGAGTTTTTCCCTCTTTTACATTGATCCACTTCACAGAACCCTTATCTACACATTAAAGAAAAATACTATAGTAATGAATGCCATTTACTGTAATACATGTGATTCGTGCAAAAGACTGGAGAGCTCCGAAGCAGCTTCCTAAAAGTTGAACAGTAACAGTATTTATTTGAGAAGGGTACATGAGTTGCCTAGCTGTACAAGAAGGCTGGTTATAATAACATGTTGATTTCTTTTACTTGCTAAATAACCGCACATTTGCTACCAATAAAAATGAATCATACATGTTCAAAACTTTTTATTTTGCATTGAATACCACCCTTTGCATTTTTGTTACAGCGCACTTGGCATTGTTGATACTTATTTTGCATTGAACACCACCCTTTGCATTTTTGTTACAGCGCACTTGGCATTGTTGATACAGTTTTAATTGGAAATTAGCATGTACACATGTATCTGACAATTTGGCTGTCTTACACCTTTCGAATCTAAATTTATATTTTAGAAGAACAAATAATAAGAAGACAATTAACAAAAATGTAATGTAGATGGAGTGGGTGTGCAGGTGGAAGATATATCACCACCACATTGCCTTCTTTTAGTATGACAAGCTAAAGAATATGTTCATCGACAAACCTGATGATGTAATTGTGCTGCTCTTGCCATCATCATTTTCTCCATCTTCCTCATCAAGCAGGCTTTCAGGAAGTGACTTTGAGTCCATAGTGCCTTCCAAAAGAATTTTCAATATTTCACTTTTGGACAGAACTGTGCCAACGCCAGCCTAATGTCACAAAGTAAAGAATCAGTTACACAACAACAAACAGAAGATGGACGATCGATATAGGAAATTCATACATCCTAAAGATAATCTGCCAAACAACTGTGTATAGCAAGCTGTAAAAACAAGCAATCCACAACAATACTGAACTTCACAAACTGAACCAGATGATGACAATGATGATTAACTTGCTAGCATCAAAATATGTGTTGTCCATGCCTCCCTTTCTAATCAGACGTTGTTATCTCCAAATTTGACTCCAAATTTGGAAAAATAATGTGAGGCTAAGATTTTCGAAATATTGACAATAACTCTACCTTACATATAAAAACAGGGATCAAACCATCTCGGTGTGTAATCCACAATCACGCACCATGTGTTAAACTGTATTGGCTAAATATGGAGACAACTTACATGTGCAGCTTTTACAAGTTAACTATAATGTCCTATATGCTGACAAACAGACGTACTTGTTTACCTGAATTCACAGGGAACTGTTGGTAGCCAAAAATACAAATTAACACATTAATAGTTGTTTAATCACACCATTGTGCCATTAATGTATTGTTACAATGCTATATGAACAATGAAGTGTCTAGCCCAAGTTATTTAGACATATTTTCCAACTTTTAACAATTAGAAAGCAGGCAGGTAATTGGTTTCAAGGAAATTCAATTCATACACACGAACCTGATAATATAACTCAACAGCATCCCGTGTGTAAGCGTGTTTATCATCCCATGGTAATGGTGGAGAACTTTCTGAGAACATGTTTGACAGTAGTTAAGGGTTCAACACAAATTCAGTGATTCCATCACATAGCCTATACTTATTATGCACTTAATCTTAAGATAATAACATTATATAGTTTAGAAAGGATATGACATCAAGGTGGGGCACGAAAGTATCTGTCTCCGGAAAATCCTCGATGAAGTCACTCGACATGACCTCCGGGTAGAGCAGAAGAACTGGCCAGTGAAGCACACCCTGCTCATCCAACTTCGGCTTCTTTACACCGGTAAGCTCTTGATATGCTGCCTTCCCAAGCTTCAACCCCCTCTTCTCTATAGCGGCAACAATATCCTACATACATATAACACTGGTTAATTCCACATATCGGAAACCAATTACAGCAATGTCGAAATCCCAAATTTGGAGCAGGAGAGACCTTCGCAGCGGACACGGCCTGCGCAACCTTGGCCCTATGACGATCTTGCTCACTCTGTTGGGCGTCCACTTGTGCGAGCAATTTCTTGAGCTCCTCATTAGCAGGGTCCTGCTCGATCCCCCGCCGGCAGAAGGCCGCCGCCTCCGGCAGCAAGCCGAGAGCAATCGCCGCTTTCGCCGCCCGGTAGTACGCCTAGCTACAAGAATCTCACACATCACGCGAAGGCGAAGGTTTCTTTGCCGAATCCAACAAAGAACAAGGAGGGCACCTTGACGTTGGAGGGAGAGAGCTGGACGGCACGGGCGGCGTCGTCGAGGGCGCGGCGGTGGTTGCCGAGGAGGAGGTTGACGTGGGCGCGGTTGGCGAAGAGGACGGAGGCGTCGGGGGATGGCACCGGCGGCGGCGGCAGCGGCTCCATCTGGGCAATGGCCTTGGTGTAGCAGTCGACGGCGTCGGCGTAGTGGCTCCGGCCCATCTTGACGAGCCGGTTGCCCTTCTCCTTGTACTCTGCCGCCGCCGACTCCTTGATGGCGGCGATGGCGTCCAGGTCGGCCTTCTCGCTCTCCGTCAGGGGGCCTCCCGCCCCGGGATCCATCAGCAGCGCCATGGCCGTCGGCGTCGAGCCGCTCGCTCTCCCCGCTGGGCGCCGCCTCCTTCCTCGCCGCTCTGGTCTTCTCCCCCGCCCAGCGCCGCGCCGCGCCGCTTCCGAAGCTTCCACGGGCTTCTGGGGTTCTCGCTTTCGCTATCCCAAAGCGGGCTGGGCCGTAGTGGAAAGTGCTCGCTTCAGCGCCCAAAATGGGCTGGGCCTTGGTGGATATCTCATATCTGTAGATTAAATCTGGAGTAAATTGCATCAACGATACACAACTTAGTGGATGCAGTCTACTAGTGCATAAATTTGTAAAACACTTATTTTGTTGTACGAACTTGTTTAGTGCGTACATCCCAAAGCCAAAATGGCATGACAAGGCTGATTTTTCAAGTTGAACATTATAAATTATTACATGACATGCGTGGTGCACATATAGTAGAAAGGTTATATGTATAAATTTGGTTTCTACTTTATCTTCCTTTGTTACTATCGCTTGCATCGTTACTCAATTTTTTATCTTTTTCTTCATGCAATCAATATGCATTATTATATGTTTTGCTAAATTGATCTTTATCTACGTGATATTTGTTTACATAGCATTAAAATCAATAACAAAATCAGCAAGATTAACATTGTCGTACGGTTTTGGTCTTGTACGCACGCACCAAATAAGTTCATGCATCAAAACGAGCATTTTACAAGTTCATACACTAGATTACACTTATCTAGCCAGTTTGTGTACCGCTGATGTAATTTACTCTTAAATCTGGTTAATTTGATCTTGAAAGATTGCGGGTATGTTTGGAATGATCATTGAAGCTGATTTTTTTGCCGTATCAAAATTTCGAAAACTTTAATGATAGTATAAATAGATGTTTGGTTTGCTATTATTTTTTTCTCACACTAATTCAAATTCTAATTAATTAGCTAGTGCTAAAACTTGGCAAGGTTTTGGTACTCCAAACCAACGAATCATGCTTGATTATCATTATTAATATTTAGGTGATAATCATAAATGACCACATGTTTATCTGCCCCATAAAAAGAAGAGATATAGAAGTTTTCTTTGCCGAATGAAATAAATAGATAAATAAGGTTTCTTTGCCCACAGTTAACAGTGAATTTTGGTAAGCCCGGAGTAGTCATCGGCTTAGAGTCAGCATCGGCTTCGAAGTCCTAAGATTAGCCGATGAGAGTTGTCAAGTCGTCAGTTGTCGGATTCTTGATATATTCGGTTAAGGAAATTGATCTACTAAAGGAAGCTTATCCAGAAGAGACCGAGTTCAAAGAGAATACGGCATGACAAGTTATCTATTAATTAGGAATAATTTATTAGTTTCCTTTTATCTTTAGGAACGTGTGTTTAGTGTCCTATAAGGACTTTATCTTGCCTTTTATCTTTAGGAAAGTTTCTTTCTTGTCCGACAAGGACTTGTATCAACCCATGGGTATAAATATGTACACCCAGGGTCTATGTAATTTATCTTCACGATCAATACAATTTGGCGCATCGCCACCTTTTACCTTTTCTACTTTATTTTATCGTCCGGCGGGACTTGGCACCTGACGTGAGGCTGCATCGATGTTCGATCTCCGACTAAGGGGTAAGTCCAATGTTCCGCCATCCCAGGCAATTGTATCGTTTACGTCGGCGTCGTTCAAGGCTGCATCAGTACATTCGACCTCTTGGATTGCTCTGGTTTGGATGATATATTTGCCTACCTATTTATCATATGTCTCTGTTAATCTAGTCTTAGCATATCAATTTAGCTCTATCGGCTGCTTCTCGTTTTAGGGTTTCTGCCGGTATTGGCTAAATCGCATTGCTAGATTAGATTAGCTTAAACATCCACCACCCTGAAAACTCAGTCAACGGCTTGATTGTTTAGATATTATGTTTCTTTTCATACTTAGTGCTGCATCAGTTAAGTTTGATCTACTAAGTCGTGCTTAGAACCATAATCTTTAGCCTGCTTTTTGATTGCCAATAAGGGTTTCATCGGAGTTTCAGCCGGTGAGTTATCTGGATGTTGCATCGGCTCATAAGGATTGCATATACATATAAGTTGGATTTAGCCGATGACAACAAAGGTTTCACTGTTTAATCTAATCTTGTGGATTTCATGATATCGGACCTCCAGCCGATGTGTGCTTTAATCTTCGGATCAATGCTTATTATATATTGTTTATAGCCGATTGGTTTCTACTGGACTATATTATTGTTATACTTTATTACCAACAGTCGATTGCCTTTATATCATCATCTACATTGGACATATAGCCGATTACTTAAACCCTATCGCTATCGGCATCGGCTATCGGCTGGAACTACTCCATCGGCTTATCAGCCGATCGGCTGTTTTGATATACTATTTGCATATATTGTCAGTTACCGAATTAAACTGACTGGTACGCCCGCATCTCATCAAGATTTGGACCTGCACAGAAGCTAAGCAGATCTCATAGGTCGGTGTGTTCGATTTTTTTCGTCAACAGTGTATCGAGAATCGCTTGTTTAGAAATACTGGGCACTAATTTCTAAGTTGACTGGACATCAATACTACTCTAACTAGGGTGCAATTTTTATCATCACCCATGATGTATAAATTTTATAGCCATCTTAACTATAACCGAGGCTAGCTTATCAGCCAAACATATTACTTACCGATGAGGCTCAGATTTTGCATGCGGATGGTTAGCATGGGGCGATTGAACTCCATGCGACCAAACTCCAATATAACCAGCCCCATCATTTGGTCACAACTGATAGGCCGTAAAATGGCTTGTAAAGATAGCAAAACTTTTATAGTGAACTTAGTGATTTAAAAGTAATGGTGGAAATAAACTATGATGAAAAGCTTTAGAATTAAATTATAAAATTAAAATATCGGCAATGACTTGTAAGCAAAAGGCAGATGATGGAAGGTAATGCAGCTTCAAAACTAACACTTGGCATTTTTACTTGTTATGATTCTAGTTTGACCACTCGTGTTTTGTTAATAAACTTATAAGGACTAAAAATATACCATATAATCTAGTAAGTACATTACACAGTGAATATAAATATATCAACCCTTTTAAAGATACCAGTAGTGAAACAAAAACCATTATTAATTAAATTGGGAAAATATATTGAAACAGAGGGAGTAAACATAAAATTCAATATAAGAGCTAATTTATGAAACAGGGAGGGTAAACAAAAACTAGATGACTGAATAGTGAATTGATCTGTGAAAATTGTTCGAGACTAAAAAATGTATGATTTCCATACCGTAGAGTTTAAAATGATTTTAAAACAACTCTGTAAGAAAATTCTTATATAGAAACTTTTTTAAAAAACCACAGCATTAGGAGTTAGCGAAGCGTGCCCGTTAATCCAATGCTCCATGCATTTGAAAAGAACATGCATGCTCACCTTGATATGTCTCGTAGATTTTTTCAGCTTTTTTTTTTGGTAATGCGTGGTATTTCTTGTTCGTGTAAAAAAAAAATCCATGTCTGTCTGGAAATTTCAGCTCCAACAGTACTCGCTGAAATTCAAACTGCTGTTCTTACGCTGTTTTTGGTGAAATTTGAAACTCGAGGCAAGTCTTTCACGAATATCCAACTGTCACGATACTTCAATTTGGTGACCTGGAAAGGGGTCCCACTCACCAGCCGCAAATTGCTTCGCTTTTGGGTGCCCCGCGCTGCGCGGACTGAACCCCAAAATTCGAAATCGAGCAGCGTCTCTCCTCGTCTCCGCTCCCCATTTCAAATCCCCCCCATCTCGTCTCCCCATCCACCTCCACCTCCACCTCCACCTCCACCGCCGCCGCCGCCGCCGCGCCATCGCCGCCTCCACCGGGATCCCGTCGCCGCGATGCCATCCGACTGCGGCGACGACGACCACGGCGGCGGCTCCGCCCCCGCGGGGTTCGAGCTCCAGGAGGATCCCTCCTTCTGGAAGGACAACAACGTGCAGGTTAGGGTTCGGTTCGCCTCCCTCTCTCGCCTCGTCGCAAGCTTCTCCTTCGAGTAGTGCCTCTCGATCTAGGTAGCTCAGGCCCAAGCCGCCCGCGATGTGCCCATCGGAGCATTTCGCCGAGCACCTAGTTAGCCTTGTTCGAGCTCCACTAATTGTTCCGCGGGTGCAACAACAGGTTGTGATCCGTGTTCGGCCGCTGAGCAGCGGCGAGATATCGGTGCAGGGACAGAAGAGATGCGTCAGGCAGGATAGCTGCCAGAGCATCACCTGGACGGGCCACCCGGAGTCGCGGTTCAAGTTCGATCTCGTTGCGGACGAGTATGTCACGCAGGTACACTCTTCACGCCCTTGTTTCTCCGTGTCATTTCGATCTGTTTATCTACTTGTCTTGCGAGATGTGTGAATGATGTTCATCTGGATGTATAGGAGAATCTGTTCAAGGTTGCTGGGGTGCCCATGGTGGACAACTGCATGGCTGGCTATAACAGCTGTATGTTTGCTTATGGTCAGGTAAGCTACTGATTCTACTTGACATTTCAAGATACTTAGGTTTCCAGGGTAGCAGTCTGCATACTGTTGTAAATTTGCATTTCAATGTCTGTGCTTAGTGCTTACAAGGGTGTCCAATTTTGGTAGACCGGCAGTGGCAAGACACACACAATGCTTGGTGATATAGAAAATGGCACACGAAGAAACAATGTGAATTGTGGTATGACGCCTCGGGTGTTTGAACATCTGTTTTTAAGAATCCAGAAGGCAAGTTTTGATTATTTGTTGATTCTTGTGCGGTACAGTGGTGTACTCTTCTCAGCCAAAATATTTTAACATTGCTGTTCCAGGAAAAGGAAATAAGGAAAGAAGAAAAACTCAGGTTTACTTGCAAATGCTCTTTTTTGGAGATATACAATGAGCAGATCCTTGATTTGCTAAATCCGAATTCAGTAAATTTGCAGGTAGAGTACTAAAAAGCATGGCTTATTTGTGTGTCCTCGGATGTTTGCTAGTTGTGTTTTAAGAAGCTGTTAGGAGATGTTCACAGTTTTGACATCTCAATGTTTCAAAAAGTGATATTATTAGCTATATTTGCAGATAAGAGAGGATGCTAAAAAGGGTGTCCATGTTGAGAACTTGACAGAACATGAGGTTTCCAATGCTCGAGAAGCAATGCAACAACTTGTTGAGGTTTGTGCTTTAAGACTGGCTTAAGAGGACTGCTATTTTTCTGAACAAAATGACTAGGACTGTTCCATTGCAAAAAGAATAAGGAAACATGTTTAGCCAGGCAATAACTGGTTACAAGATCAGTTATTTGATGCACTGTGTCCCTGTCATAAAGAAAACCTGTTGTGGTGATGCTCTGCTGCTATTGTTCATTGCAAATTTGTAACACTATATATATATGAAAAGAGAATTATTCCATACTTTCCAAGAATGTGTAGATAAGTAGTCCAATACTCCAATATACAATGGCCATTTATTAGGTATGTAACAATATAATTATGTTGACTGAATCTCCAATCTTTGACTTTAGGTACTTCTGTTTTGCCCTTCTAGCAACTATTTTGATGACTGCGAAGTTCACAAGGCAATATAGATAAAACACAGTACTCGATAGTGTTCACATGCTATCTAATATATATAGTCTGAAATTTTTTATAGGAAAATGGTTAAAACTTAAAAGGCAGTTTTATACAGAAATATAGGACAAGGTGGTTCACCAAACGAATACCATTTACTGATTCTTATAACCTTGAGTAATGCTAAATCGATCAAATTCAGCATTTTAGTTTTAAACAGTAAAACCAAACTTTGCCTTTACTTGTGATTGTTGCCACATTGTACTTTTTTAGTTGCCCATTATGCTTGGAAAAGTTGATTTATTAAAGGATCTCTCACATATAAAATGCTAGTTTCACTAGCTAGATCTCTTTAGCCAAACACTACATGTTTCTTTTCAGGGGGCAGCAAACAGAAAGGTGGCGGCTACCAATATGAATAGAGCAAGCAGTCGCTCTCATAGTGTTTTCACTTGCCTTATCGAGAGTAAGGTATATGAACTGAACTGCTTCAACTTGTTTATGTATTTTTTGTGTAATAAGAGTGATATTACCTGTCATTAGTTTCAAGGATGGTGATGTTGATGGATATACTGGTTTATATTTGTGGCTAACCTAATGCTTGCATATGTATACACATGCTATTATAAATAATTTTTTTGACCATACAGTGGGAATCTCAAGGTATCAACCATCACCGGTTTTCTCGGCTTAACCTAGTTGACCTTGCAGGCTCAGAGAGGTAGTTTGTCTCCTTGCTTTTCATACAGTTTCGAGTCTCCTATTCAGCATGAATGATATATATGCCTTGCAGGCAAAAGAGCTCAGGTGCTGAAGGGGAACGCTTGAAGGAAGCTACCAATATCAATAAGTCACTCTCCACCTTGGGGTTTGTTGATTAACTTGTATTATTTATTTCATAACGTAAAACCATCCAAGGTTTGGTTTGAATTCAGTTTCATATTTTCAATTACTTCTCCGAATCATTCTTGCAGACTTGTTATTACAAATCTTATTGCTGTATCAAACAAAAAGTCACATCACGTGCCTTACCGAGATTCAAAATTGACATTTCTCCTTCAGGTACCGTATTATGCAGTATGCACAACTTGAGTAAAACTTTTCATATTTTATGTTATCTCTTACAGAGACATAGGAGTTGGCATTTGACGAATTGCATTTCTACGACATGCTACCTTTAACTCAACTTAAAATAACACAAAACAGAATAATTTTAGTAACGTCTTATCTCCTCTTCCCAGGATTCACTTGGAGGGAATTCAAAGACAACTATAATTGCGAACATAAGCCCATCAAGCTGGTAGGCATCTAATGCTATTTTTCTTTTTGAAAAGACTATTTCCACATTTCATATTATTGACATTTTTGCTTGTTTTTTGTTATCAGCTGCGCGGCTGAGACATTGAGCACATTGAAATTCGCACAACGGGCAAAATACATAAGAAATAATGTATGCAATTAACATGTGCTAATTGTTAATTATTGTTGACATGCAAACATGAACTGACTGTTGTTCATTGTAGGCTATTATAAATGAAGATGCCTCTGGTGATGTTTTGAGCATGCGCTTACAGATCCAACATCTTAAGGTACAGAGAATGTGTTCATTTTTGCCCTTATAATATTTTCAGTGCATTAAAGACAGGAAGGTCCAGGATAAAATGTATTTGAAATTTTATCTATTCTACTTCTTTGATGGCTCATACTGATTACGACCAGTTTGCAACAGCACAGTTCTAATAAATGATTTATGTCTTATGTTCTCTGTTATCACAGAAAGAGGTCAGTCGCCTGCAAGGGTTAGTCAATTCTGACAAAGCAGAATGTACTAGTTCCAGTGGGTTTATATGTGAGTCTCCTAGCACACTTAAGTGGAATCAAGGTCAAGGCTCGTTCAGTCCACTTATGTTTGATAAAAGGGCTATGCAGGTATTCATATATACTCTTCTTTTCTTGAACATGGTGGGCTGGTGGCCATCTACTTATGTTTTATCTTTCTCATGTGTTATGTTCAGCGGAAAGATTATGATGCTGCGCTTGTCGCTGCTTTTAGGAGGGAGCAAGAAACTGAAGCAAAATTGAAGGCAATGATTGCTGCAAAGCTTGTTGCTGAACAGCTGGTCTGCATCTGTGTTCTTAATTGTGATTTTGCGTCGACTTTCTGTGAAATTGACAAAACTAAAGTGAACATACATATGCATTTATTAAGTTTAATTATCTGTGGCACCACAGGCAACTCAAAGAGCGGAAGAGGTCAGAAGCTTCAAGATGAGGCTTCGTTTTCGTGAAGATCGAATAAAAAGACTGGAGCAAGTTACATCAGGGAAGTTATCTGCTGAATCACATCTGTTGCAAGAAAATGAAGACCTTGTGAAGGAAGTAGATGCTCTTCGTGGCCTACTGGACCGCAATCCAGAAGTCACAAGGTTTGCTATGGAAAACTTACAATTGAAGGAAGATATTCGAAGGTAAGCATTCCTATCCATCCACTTCTTTCTCTAAACTCCAAATGCTACTTATGTGTTCTTTTGGTTTATCTATTTGCCATTGCTAATATAGTTGGAAGTTTGATGCCCTGCTACCATTAAAACTTACAGGTTACAAACATTTGTTGATGAAGGAGAACGAGAAATGATGCATGAGCAGATAATTGTTTTACAAGATAAGGTATCCACTTCAAGCTATGGTGACCTCCTGAGTACAGGAACTCTTTTCAGTGTACCTTGCTCCTTTACTATTTCCTTGATGTCTTGACTCACTTAACTTGCATAACCTGCAGTTACTGGAAGCACTCGATTGGAAACTTATGCATGAGAAGGATCCTATTAATAAGGTTGTTTATGCAGTCCTTTAAAGGAAACATACAAATTGTGAAATTTAAAGACATCCTTAATTTACTGAAAGCTGAATGTTTATTTACAATAAAATGTTTGCTTCAGGGCTTATTGTGCGCGTACCTAGCATCTGACTTATGTTCATAATGACCTTTTGCAGGACCTCTCATTTTTGGGGGAGTCAGCTGATGAGGAAATGGAGTTTATTCGTTTGCAGGTCAATATTACAAACCTATCCTGACATATGTAATGTCTTTTTATACCCCTGTTGATGGTACTGCTTCCTAATTCCTAACATTGGTTTGCAATATTGTGTTACAGGCTATTCAAAATGAGAGAGAAATTGAGTCTCTGCGTAAAAATCTGAGCTTCTGCCTTGAATCAAAAGAGAAACTTGAGAGGTATATAAAAAATTTCCTACAAAAGAAAAAAAGAAGTATATCACCCTTTGCTATTTTAAGACTTCTAGTATATTGTATTTTCTGTGTACTCCATTTTCTGCCCCGTATGCTACAAACTCTCACATAGATGATTCCTTTGTTAACCCAACAAAAGGCTTACAATTGTGATGTCTAGAAGAACAGTTTCTCCAAGGTGATTTTATTCACTATAAATGTAAGAAAGCACATAAATATTCACTGCTATGTTTGTTAATGTCAAATCATGTTGATCTAAATGGGCAGACATACAAGCATTTCATTGAAGATAGCTTGCAAGTGTTTAAGGGTAATATTTTTTAGAGTAAGATTTGTACTGCACTGCTATGAAATCCAGCTGACTATGGGCCTGTTTGGGGGAGCTTTTAGCTGCAGCAGCTTATCCCGGAATCAAAAACTCCCCCAAACAGCCTAACTTTTGGTCTAGATTCTGAGAAGCTGTAGATATAGAATCCAGAAAATGAACTAGAAGCCAGAAGCTGGAAAACCCAGCTTTTCTAGATTCTCAGAAGCTGGCTACCAACCAGTTGCTTCTCAGAATTTTAAGCTCCCCTAAATAGGCCCTATATATTGAGCCCAATTGTGGTCCATCTGCCCATGCAAGTGTGGGCATGAGTAGAATAGTTAGTACCACCTTGCTAGTTGATCAAGAGTTGGACCAATATATAAACCCATATGCTCCAACCATAGCACCTCCAGGTGGACCCTTTTACACGAAGTGAAGATTAAAGTATAAGTGAGGTGTTATGCGTACGCAGTCTGCTTAGAAAGTGTGGTAATGTGGATTTTGGAAGCTGGGGTGTGACAATAACTGCCAGTGCACTCTGAATAGACGATTTATAGATTCTGTAATACCTGCTGTTTTCGATGGTTATCTGGGGTAGATCAACCAACCCTGACGATATACTATCAACTGTAGCAATGTCCTTGGCCAATGCTATTTAAGTTACCTAAGACACTGCCTGTGCGTTGCTGCTTATCTCAAATAAATATTACAATCTAAACTTGAGGATTTAAAATCTAAAGTATTGCATACACAAAGCTACATGCATAAACCCATAAGTAGACGATACAATCTCTTACATTTGATTTCTAAATCATTTGATTTGTCATTTGTGTTTTCTCTAGTTTGTGTTTGGTAACTTTTATCCACCAAATTCCACTGTGTTAAAAGTTTTTGAGATTAAGGTGTTATTTATGTGCACTTTATCCAGAGCTTATTATGCATTATGAACTTCTGTTCAAATACCATTACCTGATAATTTGTACATTCTGCAGGCGTGTTGATGAGTTGACATTAGAGTTGGAGGCAGCAAAGAAATATCATGAAGAATCTGAGGCTGTGGAACTCCAGGTGCAGACCGAGGTAGATTTGCATGATCTGCCTGATGCTCAGACAGAACTGAAGACTTTGGTTGATGCCATAGCTACAGCAAGTCAAAGAGAAGCAGAAGCTCATGAAACTGCTATTGGGTTGGCCAAAGCGAATGAGGAACTAAGAACAAGGCTTACAGTTTTGATTGAGGATAATAAGAGATTAGTTGAGCTCTATGAACATGCTATCGCCAATGGTGAGGTGAATCAAGATGGGGGCCATCCTGCCATTCCTCAAATTGAAGGTGTGAATGAGCAGCAAAGCAGCCATTCTTATGGAGGGGCTGCTGCGAATGGGGTGCTGCCAGATGACAAGCCAGAGAGTGCAACAATTTTGCCAGCAGACAACTCATCCAGTGAGGTATCGGACTCCAAGATAATGGATGGACAGTGCAATCACAAGGATAATTTTTCAAGAAGTGAATTGACAGATTTGCAACTTCAACTGGACGAGATGCATGAAGAAAATGATAAACTTATGGGTCTGTATGAGAAAGCTATGCAGGAAAGAGATGAATTCAAAAGGAAATTTTTTGAGGGTAGCAATTCTTTAACTACAGTAGATACTCAATATGAAGATGTTGAAATGCGTGATGCAACAGATGATGAAGATCTAGAAGTAAAACATGTACATGACTCTGCAATATCAACGTTTAAAGAAATCCTGCGGCTTGTTCGTGTCAAACTGAAGAATGTCCACGACAAGCTTGTAACTACCCAGGATGCAGTAGAGTATTTTAAACTTCTTGAAATGGCTAGTACTAAGGCAGAAGAACTTTCAGCAAGCATTCAGCACCATTGCCTAGAACTGAAGCACGACCAGGAAGACATGAATGCCCTTAAGGCTGAACTGTCACAATCACAGGAGAGTAAAGAAGCTTTGGAAAGCAAGTATTTCTCGCCTGTGGCATCATGCTGGAACTTGGACTTGAAAACCAAAGCCCTTGTTGGGTCCAAGTTTGATGTCAGCTTGGAATTATTGAATCAAAAGAAGGAACAACTGAGTCACCTCCAAACTCTCAAAAAAGAATTTTCTGTTGCATCTACAAAAGCACGTGAATCTGAAACCGCGTTGAGAAGCAAAATCGACGGTCTTAAAGTAAAACTCCGCTCTTTCGAAGCTCAGAGAAAGGAGGCAGAAAGGGTCCTTTTTGCTATTGATAATATCGACACTTCCACTCCTACATTGTCGAAGCCTGTGAATTTTGGTAAGGCATCTGAGCTGCTGAGATCTGAGGAGGAGCGAACAAAGCTTTTATCTGAACTTAAGAAGTCCCGTGAACAGCTTATCATGGTGCAGAAAGAAATTAAAAGCATGAACAGACACGATGATATCGATTGTAAGATTGCATCTCTTGAATCAGAAGTAGAAAATTGCTGCCTGACCCTGCTGGAAGCTGACGTCGAGAAGTTTGTACGTGATAATACCTTGACAGAGATTTGGAAGGAAGAGCAGAAAGACATGGATTGCCTGCTGGTTGATTACCAAGAGTGCGTTTTTAAAGTCAACTTGAAGGAGGAGAAGATCAGGGCATGTGAGGAGTCCTTGCAGCATCAAACAAGGTCCCTGGATGACATGAACTCGAAGCTAAATCAAGCGATGCGTGATCTGGGTGAGCATCTGCGAGACAGAACCCCTTGCGATTTGGATGCATCCATGTTGCATGTTTCTGACAAGGTTAAGGGGGATCTTGATGCAATGGCGCTTCATGTTGCTGAAGCTGTGCAGCTCTTGCTTGTCCAGGGTGAGAACCAAACAAATCCGTGAGCCTGCTCAACTAGAACCAGCTTTCCTTCACTGATGCAATAACCGACAGGCTAGTCTGTCCAAGCCTCATCTGTGCACATCCTTGTTTTCACCACAACACAAGGGATCAGGCGTCTCTTTCTGTCAATTCGCTTCTACATGATGGAAGAAGTCGTGAATCAGGATGCGCTCAAAACTGTTTTGTGCGACCACCTATCTCTGGTGGTTGTGCCAAGTCATCAACAGCAACAGGCCCTTATGTAAGCTATGTATTTCTTTTAGTTTGCACTTGAAAGTGCAATTCAGCTACTGGTTCAACAAGGTTTTGAATTCAAGGAAGTGATTTACCGTGCCTTTTGTTATTCTCTAGATTTGTACTGTACGAAACAATGAACATAGGTGCCTGCATTAGGGAAGGATGCTGCACTCTAGTAGTTGTAAGCAGAAAATTGGAGCCTGAACCTCTTTATGTATTTTAGCGTGTTGGGTGAACTGTACAGTTCTCCAGTAGCAGTAAAAACTTACTGAAAGGTGGAGTTGCGCCAGTTTGTGAATGAGTTAGGTAGGACTCAGGCTGACTGCTTCCAGAAGCTTATTCTGCTCTTGTCTCTTGTATTTGTTGCTTGCTCCACTGCTATCTGATCAAAGATTCAAATAATAATGTCCAGTTGGCATTTCTTAACAACACTAACCAAATGACACACGCTTAATACTGCTTATTGTCACCAACCCATCGCCATCACTTGACCATATCAATTACGCAACTTTAATTAAAAAAATGAATAGACAAGCTTCAATTACGTCATATATGTCAAACACTAAGCTCAATCACGCACGATAGTTCAAAAGAAAAAAACAATCACGCACGATAACGCCGACATCACTGGGCTGGGCCACTATAGAGGAGCAAGAAAAGTTCCCCAAGAAAGAGAGAGAGAGAGAGAGAGGGAACTACGGAGAGAAACCGTGGATGCTTAGCAGCGAAGCGCTGTGCCGTCGGATCGGGAAACCCACCAAGACCGCGTGCGGCGCTGGGTCTCGCTCTCGCTCCGTCGAGCTCGGGCTGCCGAGTGCTGAGTCGGACTCCACGACGCATCCGCGGAAGCGACGCGCTCCGCCGTCTCTATCTCTATTGCGTCACACATTGGCTGCTTCCTGGCGTGGCGCGGCGGCCGTCGTTCGTAAACTAACCTGGCATTCTGGCGTGTGCCTCAGGAAAAAAGAGAGAGAAAGATAGAGAATTTTTGGGGTTGCGTTTTTTTGGCAACCAGATGCTAGCTGGCAGTTAGTATTTCATCCGTTTCCATATGATTTTTTACTGTATTTTTATCTAATGGGTATTTGGCAAGCGGTTATTCTGAAACAAATATTTATCCTTTTGTTCTGCTTGAGATTTTTTCGGACGATAATTTTTGAAACGTGGACGACAATTTTTTTATTGGGTGAGATGGTAAATATTTGTTTCTCACGTTTCGAAAAAACAATTTGAGAATTATTTATTCATTCAAACACGACCTTATTACCACGATTTGATTAATTAGCATAAGCATTTACTCTCTCTATATCAAAATAACACAATCTAATATTAGACGTGATACATTATAGTACTATGATTTTGTCATCCACACAAGCATTTACTTTTCTATTTAGATTCGTATGTCATATATCGTGCTAGATCAATTTATTTTGGGACGAAGGAAGTACAACTTACCAGCTCAGGAAATATTAATATTGTCAATTTAATCAAATTCCCTTAAATTAAATAAATTAAATGTACTAGTAGTAACAGAAAATTGCGGTTTGATCTTTTCCTCCGTTCCGTGGCGCAGGCTGCAAAAGCAACCAACGCCACGCCATCTCGCCGCCTCTAACCATCTATCTCCTCCCTCTTTCTCTCTCCTCCACAAGCCACCAACCGCCGTAAGACCGTCGTCCTCTCTCTCTCTCTCCTCCCTCGCGTCGCGTCGCGTCTCGCTAAATACCACTGCACCCACGGGTAGGTTCCCGTGGACTCTCTCGTCCGATCGGCGAGGAGGCGGAGAGGATCGGAGCACATGCGGGAGCGCGGCGAGGAGGAGGTGGAGGAGGATGAGGCGCGGCCGCGGCCGGGGTGCGGGGGAGGGGAGGCGGCGGGGCAGGCGGCGGCGAACTGCGCGGCGGTGTGCTGCTGCTGCCCGCTGGCGCTGCTGGAGATCCTGCTGCTCGTCACCGTCAGGCTCCCCGCGGGCGTCATGCGGCGGGTGATGAGGCGGCGGCGGCGGCGGCAGCGGCGTCGCAAGAGCCGAAGCGGAGGAGGAGGAGGCGGTGGTGGTGGTGGTGAAGGAGGACCGTCGTCGCCGTCGGGGAGCGCCAAGGCGATGATCGCGGCCGCGTCGGCGTTCGATATGATGGACGACGAGGCGGCGGCGGCGGCGGCGGCGGCGTCATCAGCGCGCGGCGAAACGGACGCGGACGCGGAGCTGGAGCTCGAGATCATGCGCTCCCGGTTCTACAGCGGCGGCTTCTGGCGCAGCCCTTCCTCCGGCTCCAGCTCCTGCGCCTCCTCCCTTCGCCGGTAGCATCGCCACCACCGCCGCCGACTCGCCGCCGCGCCGCCTCGCCGCACGTGCTGATCACCCAAGGTGATCTGCCGCACGCACGTGTGCAAGTGCAACGCAGGATTAGTTTTGTCATGTGAGCTCGATGCGATTTTGGCATCAAACTTTAGCTTAGGATTGGATTTGCAAGCGGAAGCGGGAGAAATTTTGTGCAGTGCTCCGCTCGATTGCTTGGTCGATTGACCATTGCGCGCGTGCGTGCGTGCGATTTGGGGGGTGGACCACTTCTGAGCCTTCGTCCAGATTGCCCCCCAGGTTTCGCCTCTGTCTTTTTCTGTACTAGCAGCAAACGCTGAAACTCGTGGCAATGCTTTGGATTCAACATATTGGCCAAACAATATACAGGCAATTCAGTACAGTTGTTGACTACGATTTCTGCACTTGTTGTTCTAGAACGGCTTCTGCAGGGATAGCAATTGACGAATTGTCCGTCCGTCAACCTCCGTACTGCTGGCAAACGTGGGGTCAAATATTGTGTTCGCTGCTCAAGTTTCGGGATGAACAGGGGGAGGAATTTTTTTGTCAGGTTTTTTTTTTTCAACAACTAGTCCAGTTTTGTTTTTGTAATCTTGCTTCTAGATATTTTTTCCCAAACACAGTGCAAACATACACGCTCTATTCTTTTGAACACCTTTAAAGCTGGATCAATATATTTTGAGATTTCACAAAATCACTATAAGCGTATCAGGTATTATTATTTTTCTTCAACAACCAGTCCAATTCTAAAGAGTGTGTCTTACTGGTTGACGTGCACATCGTCTGTCATAGAAAGAATAATTAGCTACAAATATAAGCACCGTGCCAAGTATAGGATTTAGAATCAGAATGGAAAGGTTCCATCACCAGGAACCAAACTACTCCATCCGTCTTTAAAAAAAAGCAAACCTTGGGTTTTCGTGCCAACATTTAACTATCCGTCTTATATAAATTTTTTTTATAATTAGTATTTTCATTGTTGTTAGATGATAAAACATGATTAATACTTTATGCGTGACTTATCTTTTTAATTTTTTTTCATAATTTTTTTAAATAAGATGGACGGTCAAACGTTGGACACGGAAACCAGGGTTTGTCTTTTCTTTGGGACGGAGGAGAGCTACAGCCTATAATCACTTCGTAGCTTGCTTCTAGATTTGAGCCAATTAGGAAGCCTAAAAGTGTGATTTTAGTACTACTATAATACTATTTAGGCGGAGATATCAGCTAATTTGTGGTACATAGAGATCAGAGATGGGTATGGACCGACCCATGACTCTCTGTGTAATATTTGTCCTACTTTAGTTTAATTAATAAAACAAAGTAAGTTTTTTTAAATATAAAGTAAAATTTAGTTAATTTAACTCTACTATATTGGATTAAGTACTAGGAGTACTTGTTTTTTTTTTATTACCAACGAGGACTACCCTTGTTGGATCATGCCCGCTCCTTAATTGCTACTCTCTGTTCCACGCTAAGACGCTTTGGGTTTTGAATAGTTTTATGAATGTATTTATGTATGTGATTCATATATATGTTCAATTTATAAGTACGTTAGTGAATCTATACTAGAGATGAAAAGTGTTTTATAATATGCACTCCTACAAAAGTGATTTTTCTGTACGAGGCCCCATCATTTTTCCATGCGGACCGTAACTAGTGGCGTCTGCAAAAATCGAGGGTCATTTTCCCATACGGCTGCTTAAGTGACCCGTATGGAAAAATCGATTTTTCCATACGGGCCTCTTAAGAGGGCCGCATGCAAAAATGAGCTCATTTTTGCATGCGGCTCACTTAAGCGCCCGCATGGAAAAATCGATTTTTCCATGCGGGCCACTTAAGAAGCCATATGCGAAAATAAAATTTGAAAAATTTAAAACTAGTGTATCTCACCCATATGAACTCCAAATTGGATGATTTTTTTCCTAAATGTTTCTAAAATCATGCTTTATCATGTTATTGTGTTCTTACTGGTATTATTTTTGCTATTTTTTCTTGTGACTTTGTTTTATCAATTTAAAATTTGAATTTCAAAACTTCAAATAATATTTTGAAGTAGTAAATGATTTCAACTGAAAAAGTCATCAATAACAAGGTTGTATAACTCATCAAGATTTATAACTTCTATTTTGGTCATTTCTTCATCCAACAAAGTGATTTGTAAGATTGTTCACAAAATGCACATCTCTTATATAAAAACTTATATAAGAGAATGCACATCTCTTATATAAAAACTTATATAAGAGATGTGCATTTTGTGAACAATCTTACAAATCACTTTGTTGGATGAAGAAATGACCAAAATAGAATCTTGATGAGTTATACAACCTATATAAGAGATGTGCATTTTGTGAACAATCTTACAAATCACTTTGTTGGATGAAAAAATGACCAAAATAGAAGTTATAGATCTTGATGAGTTATACAACTTTGTTATTGATGGCTTTTTCAATTGAAATCATTTTGTATTTGAAAATGTTATTTAAAGTTGTCATATTTTGAAATTCAAATTCAAACGGTCCAAACAGAGTCGTATAGAAAAATGACCAATACAAAAGTTGAAGATCTTGATAAGTTATACAACTTTATTGTTGACAACTTTTCTATTTGAAATCATTTACTGCGTGAAAAAATTATTTGAATTTCTTATATTATAAAGTTCAAATTTTATATAGTTCAATCAAACTCGGATGGAGAAATGACCAAAAGAAAATTGGTAGATCTCAACGAGTTCTACAACTTTGTTTTTGGTAATTTTTTCATATGAGTTCATTTAATATCATAAAATTTGATTCAAAGTTCTCATAATTTTAGATTAATTTTTTCCCTCCTCACCACTTCAAAATTTTTCATCTCTTCTCCTCTCTCCTCTCTCTCTCCCCTCTCTGATATTTTCCCCTCATCTCTTTCTCTTCCTCTCTCTCACTCACTCTTTCTCTCCTCTCTCTCAACCTTTCGGAGGCGCCTGGCGAGCGGCGGCGCCGGGAGCGGGCGGAGGCGCAGGGCGAGCGGCGGCGCCGGCGGCCGAGAGCGGCGTGGCGCACGGTGAGCGGCGGCGGAAGGCGCGCGGTGGCGTCGGGCGGGAGCGGCGTGGTGCGTGGAGGCGGCCGAAAGCTGCGCGACGACGACGACGACCCCGATGCGGACAACCCCGACGACGACGACAATGACGACTGGGCGGTGACGACGATTGGGCGCCCGGATCTGGCGGGCGGAGGCAGCAGAGAGCGGCGCGACGACGACGCCGACCCTGCGATGACGATGACAACCCCGACGACGAGTGGGCGCCCGGATCCGGTGGGCGGAGGCGGCCGAGAGCGGCGCGACGACGACCCCAACGACGATCCCGACGACAACGACGATTGGGCGGCGACGGGGCGGCGACGCGGGCCTCGTCCCTCCCGGATCCGGCGGCGGCGGGCCTCGTCCTGTCCAAATCCGGTGGTGGCGGGCCTCGTCCTGCTCGGATCCGGCGAGAGCGGGGGTGGCCGGCGGTGGGAGCGGGAGCGGGAGCAGGCGGCGGCGGGACCGGGGCGGGCGGCGGTGGGAGCGGGGGTAGGTGGCACGGGAGCGGCTGGCGAGCTCGGGCGGCGGCGCCGCCGCCTGCGGGCTAGGTTTTTTTTTTGTTTTGGAATTTTATTTTTTTTTGGCGATTTTTTCTCTTTGCATGCGGTCGGCTTAAGCGCCCGCATGCGAAAATCCGATTTTCGCATGTGGGTGCCGTGGCCGCATGCAAAGTTGGTGATTTTCAAAGACGATTTCCCGCATGCGGTTGCGCCAACCGCATGTGAAAATCTCTCCCGCCCGTATGCAAAGACCTTTTTTTAAGTAGTGGTGGAAGGGAACTCGTACTGCTATAGCACCTTTTGAGTGCGGAGTTGCTATCTCCGGAGCACAAGATCACGTGGCGAATCCTTCTTTAGCTAATAGATCACGTTCTGATGGTGAGCGCGATTGATCACGAATTTTCAATTGTGTGAAGCTGTGAATAGCAAATCCAACTCAATTAAACATGTCCGCAAGCCACATGCACTACTGTAACTCTATAAGACGGAAGCAATTCCACGTTGCTTCAAGACCAAAATTTTATAAATTTATTCAGATTGTTCATCGTCCGGGACAGCAGCGTGCAAAGGTGCAACAGACATCGGCGGGTTCCCTATTTTCACCTATTTCATCCTGGCAAAAATGGCAGTTAAGGCGATGAATTGGCCAGCATCCTATAAGCTCGGAGAACTTGGTAAGTTGGTAGGGAAGAACTTCTTCAGCGGTTCAGCCTGAGATTGCGACTCAGCAACCTGACATACATGTTGTGCCTGCAGTTGGATTTGCCGCCCAGAATTCACTCTTGTCGTTGGTCCTCATGTATAATCTAGAAACCGTTGCAGGGACGGCGAAAAGCCGAAAAGATCCACTTGCCGTATTCGTGATATTTAACAATTTGCTACTTTCACATATGATGATTTATCATCTAGACCCATATATCGTAGACACACGAGAATCCATACGTCATAGACATATAAGCGGTATATTGTTAAATGTCAAATCTAAAAGTGATAAATAGTAAAATGCCCCGCTGCATTCTCCCCTTTCTACTAGAATCTGCTCAACCTGTCTCAAGTCTCGACAAAGATGCAACTATCAGTGTCTGACATGAAGCAGAAGCCAAGTGAAGAGTTGTTGAATCGAATGGGGATAAGATGATTGATCAGCATACGGACCTGCCGCGATTTCCATCGAGAAGACGAAGACAGCGCCATCTTTGCTCAAGGACACGCCATTGGGGAACTGAAGATTGCGGTGGAGAGTGCATTCATTCCCGTGTGCAGTGTGCATCCTATTTCAAGAGCCTCCCAGTCTCTCCCAGATGGATCCGCGGAGAATGAATGACAACTGCATAAAATGCCTGCAAATGAACAAAACAGCCACACCTGATCGATGATTGGTTCCAACACTGAATCTCTGTTAACGATAGAACCTTCATAACATAGATATTTGAAATTATCGCTAGCCTCCATTTCTCTGAGCATGTGAAAGGAGCACACTTGCGATGGGCAGTGTACGTGTGTGTAGCGATGTGTGTGCGTGCATGTCTTACATGAAGAGGTGGAGCTGAGGAAGCAGAGGATGTTATATGTGATTCTGGATCCCCTGCCGTCACAATTGTACTCTTGACCGTCTATTCGAAATTTCCAATGGGGCTGCGTGTATCCCGCGGGATGTAGAGGCCGGGTATTAATCTATTATCTAAAAAATTTCAAAATTTCCAATGATGTACTGTCCAAATTTACATCTATAACACTCAAGGTACAGTAGCATGAATAATGTTCCATGCCACTACAATTGCTACTTTATCCTGAACACTTTTTTTCTCTTATTCGAGAGATCCATATTGCTGGTTTTGTACTACCTCCATCCTATATTACTTGTCCTTTTGAGTTTTTGTTTGTCAATGTTTGATCATCGTCTTATTCAAAGAATTTTGGAATTATTATTTATTTTGTTTGTCAATTGCTTTATTATCGAAAGTACTTTACATATGACTTATCTTTTTTTATATTTGCACTAATTTTTCAAATAAAACGAATGGTCAAATATTGCAAATAAAAAGTCAAAAACGTCACCTATTATGGGACGGAGGGAGTATTGATAAAAGTAGAGAGAAACTGTACATGCCCCATCAGAGGTTAGAGTAAGATGAAAAACAAGAAGGGCATCAGAGACAAGTGGCTTGTACCGGCCCAATAGGATCCAACAGTGAACAGACTGCACCGGATCAGAGAATCCGGCAATTTCACAAATTATTATCGAGCGCAATAAGAAGGCACCAAACGAACATGGAGTCATGGACTGTGAAAATGAACTAAAAATGTAAGCAAGCTACATCTGCTTCGAAAAAACTGAAACATGAAACAACTTAGGTTGTTACTTGAAAGCGGCATTTATGAAATGTCACCCGGGATAGTGGTAAATGGTGTGCAAACGTCATTCTGGGATTCCACATTTTAACCCTTGTATCCAGGCATAAAGTTTGCTAAGATGCATTGGCGTAATCGAAGACGGCAATGAAGGGCATCAGAACGGATCCTATCCAGAGCTTCCCATCCTTCTCCTCAACTTCACTAACGGCTCTTACCACCTGCCCTGTGGTATCCTCCAAGATGTCAAGCACCTCGCCTTCGGGGTTGTACTTGATGATCAGAGCGTGGAGCTTGCCGCCGATCTGCATCAGGTAGTGGTACTTGGCAGGGATTGGGAGGCTGAGCAAGAACTTCCTCAGCCTGACATTGCGACTGACCATTCGGGCGTATATGCTGCGCCTGCAATGGATTGCTACCCAGAATTCACCCTTGTCGTTGGTCCTCACATTGTCTGGAAACCCAGGCAGGATGGCGAAAAGATCCACGGTTCCAGCCTTCTCCCCTTTCAGCCAGTATCGGCTCAATCTGTCTCAACAAGGATGTATCAACGAATGTGTGGTATGAAGTTGAAATAGGAGAACACTGAACGAAATGGAGAAGTACAGACCTGCCACGGGATCCTTCGCAGAAGACGAAGAACAAGCCATCCTTGCTCATGGACACCCCATTCGGAAACTGAATGTTGCGGTGGAGAACTGTTGCTTTCTTTGTGTTCGGGTCGTATTTCAGAAGCCTCCCTGAGGGATCTCCAGAGAAAACCAATTGCATGAAATGCCTGCATACCAGCAGCCACAACTCAGGATTACTTGACACACTATGGATAATGATAGCACATCCAACTGATCAGGACGTACTAACTAGACATTTCTTTGCACAAAATTGATCGTGAAGAAAAGAAAAGGTAAAGCTCCTATACTTTCCCAATCGGAAAACAAAAGCCCCAAGATCAGCTGAAGTTACTGAAGGTCATAAAATGTATGGAAACAAGCCACTTTATTGTTTTGAAATCAGCATATTGTCTTTCAGTGGGAAGCATATGGAGGTGTACTAAGAGAGCATAATTGGTTACCAGGTACTTGGATTTATGCAATTGATTTAACACAGTCATGTCTCTGCATTTCTTCTTCAGTCGTACTCACTGGTTTAAAGAACATTATAATATCTAGAAGACTTGTGCAATTGAAGTCCAAAAGTCTTGGCATGATGGTGACTACGACGACAATTAAAGTTCAGACAAGGAACCATTCCAACCTAACCTTACCATTCAAGGATCCTAAGTTTTTCATTGACAATTCCGCAGTAATTAAGCAACTAAGCATGAGTGTTTATGGAGTAAAGAGCACTAAACTAATACTGTAACAGGCAAGGCAATGGATACAGTGAAGCAGAGAAAGCAGCAGGGGATTGGGAGGAGGAATTGCACGACGGACCGTCTCTGGTAGTGGATGCTGCTGTCAGTGAAGTAGACGTTGCCGTCGTCGTCGAGGTCGAGGTCGTTGGTGAAGTTGAAGCGAACGCCCTCGGCCTCGGTGGCGAGCGGGGTGGCGAGGCCGCCGTCGGGGCCGACCTTGAGGAGGCCGAAGTAGGCGTCGGCGATGTAGAGGTCCCCCGTCCTCCGGTCGAATCGGAGGCCGAGCGCGCGGCCGCAGATGTGCTCGTCCTTGAGGTAGTCGAGCGGCGACGCCTTGTGGCCGCAGAGCTCGGCGGTCCAGTTCGGGGAGGAGTGCGCGAAGTAGACCCAGCGGGCGCCGTCCCAGCGCACGACGCGGCCGTCGGCGACGCCGGTGTAGGGTCCCCGGCCGAGCGGGTCGAACGCGACGCTCTCGGGGCCCTGCACCTCGCCGCGGAACCGGATCTCCGCGCCGCGGAGGCGCTCGCGGGTGTCCGCGTGGGGCGGCATCTCCGACGCGTCGGGGAGCTCGACGACGTGGGGGACGAAGCCCGGGAAGTCCACCATGCTCCCCGTCCGCAGCGGGTCCGTCCCGCAGAACGCCGCCAGCGCCGCCACCGCCACCGCCACCGCGAACGCCACCACCGCCGGCGACGCCATCAACCTCCTCCTCCTCCTCTCCCCTCCCTCGCTCTCTCCGCCCTCGCGTCGCGTCGCGCTCCCCGCCTTGTCACGCCAATGGCATTGGCCCTCGTCGCGGGCTTTGTAGGTGTCGCCGCGGTGGGCGAGGGCGAGGCGGCGTGGGGTTGTGAATCTGAATATCTGATGGATACGATACGGCGACGCGAGGCGCACCTCGCGAACACAGGCGTCAACTACTTCGCATCGGCATCCCTGCACCATGCACGTGCCAATCGCCGCACACGCATTACTGCTCGGTTCCGATCTCACACCGCGCAACTACCTTCTACTTACTCCATTCAGGGTCTGTTAGACACTCCAGCTCCAGCTCCAGCTTCCAGTACCACTAAAACTGAGAGTAGAACTGGGTGAAGCTATCTCACAAAATGAACTAGAGTTGTGGAGCTGGGTTTAGTCAGCTCCACAACTCTACTCTAGACCTAACTCCTGGAGCTAAATTTCGGAGTTAGGGCTCCTTTGAATCAAAGGATTTATGTAGGAATTTTATAGGATTCAAATCCTATAGGAAATTTTCCTATTTGGCCATTTGATTCAAAGGATTGAAGCTTTCCAAATCCTATGAAATTCCTATGGAATGGCACATTGCATATGGATTTTGGAGGAAATTTAGCAAGAGCTCCAACCTCTTGGAAAATTTCCTTTGAGTCTATCTCTCTTATCCGATTCCTATGTTTTTCCTGCGCTCTAATCAAACGACCATTCCTGTGTTTTACAATTCTCTGTTTTACACTTCAATTCCTATCAGAATCATATGTTTTTTCTATTCCTTCGTTTTTTCTACCTACGATTCAAATGGGACCTTAGAGTTGTACCAAACAGGTCCTCAGTGCATTGCCTCCATAAATAAAGTACTACTCCCTCTGTTTATATTTAACCTCTTATTTATCATAAAATAAATTTATCTTTATGAACAATTATTACATCAAAATATTATAAAAGTACGATTAAATGTATTAGGGTTAGATAAAGTGGGGTAATTGCATTGGTATTTGAAATAGTAAAAGTATGTGTAGGGTGAGTGAAAAGTGAACGCGAAGGGATAATAATTTGCCACCGTTAACACATACAACTAGAAAATTTTTTTATATTCATCGATTTTCTTTTTCAAGGATGAAAAAAGTACTTCCTCCGTCCCCTAAAAAATAAATATAAGATAGGATGTGACACATCTTTATACTATAAATATGTCACATCCGGTAATATGTTGTTTTTTATGAGGCAGAGGGAGTATGCTCTAACTGATTTTTTTGCTAACATACTTATAATGTTATAAAATTCCTTTTTCAAAAAATATTATTGCAAAAGTTCTTATAAATAAAAAAAAGTTTCTATGTTTTCAAACCCAATATTTTGAGAGCTACGGATGGTTAAAGTTTTAAAATTTTTACCGGATAAAAATTAGCAGTATCATGTACTAAAATATGGGGGGAGTAATATAATTACTCAGCAAAGGTGTACTACTGGAGTAGTATATAGTGGAAATAATTCCCAATGTTCTAGAAGCTATCCAAGCACAAATAGGGGAAATCAGTGGGGTAACATGCGCACAGTTAGCAAGTTGCCTTGAGCTTACAAAACAACCTGCATAGTTATTAGTAAAATATCGTGAGCTTACAAAACTTACCAGTGCAGTTATTAAATTATTTTTGACTTTAGAAAATTACCAGTGCATAGTTAGTAAATTATTGTGAGCTTATAAAACATACAAGTGCAGCTAGTAAATTACCGCGAGCATAAAAAACTTACTCGTGCATATAATTGGAAGTTACGTTGAGCTTACAAAACTTTAAAGTACAAGTTGGTAAAATACTACTCCATGAGCTTAGAAAACCTACAAGCTTTTCTTTAAAAAAACATAAAAGCTTTTATTTATTCAAAAATAACCTACAAGCTTTTTTTTTTCTGGTGACGGGGATATTTCAAGAAAGCCATCTGATATGGGTTACCACCAAATACCAATGCTAACAAATACGTCAGAAAGTGTAGTTAGAATCAAATACACGTGGTCAAGCAAACGTTTGATTTTATTGAGGCGTCTATCTTTCTTTATTTTTTAGAAAAGTCGAACTTAGTCGCCTAAAATCAAGAATCGTATTGTGGAGACAAAATCTTCAATTAATTAACAAACTAATCGTAATATTCTGGCTACCAGGTGGCTAGAATCAAATACATAGTCAAGCAAGCTTTTGGTTTGATTGTGGCGTCTAGCTACTTTGTTTTATTTGAAAACATCTAAGGCCATGAAAGGATTTATATAGAAATTTCATCGGATTTAAATAGAAATTTTCCTATTTAGCAATTTAATTCAAAAGATTGAAGCTTTTAAAATCATATGAAATTCTTATGGAATAACTCATTGCATGTGATTTTGGAGGAGATTAGCAAGAGTTTCAACCTCTTAGAAAATTTTTTGTCTATCTCTCTCATCTTATTCCTACGTTTATTTGCGGATCAATCAAATGATCATTCTTGTGTGTGTCTTCTGAGTTTTGCAATTCTCTATTTTATACTTACATTCATTTCAGAAACTTACGTTTTTTCTAATCCTCTATTCGATCATGCGATTCAAATAGTCCCTAAAACATGAACCAAATCGTGAAGACACAATCTTCAATTAACGAAATAATCAGGTGGAAAGCATGTATACAGACGAGGGCCCTATATACATCAATCTCTTTGATCGGAAAGCATATATGATATATCAGCAAGGGAAAAGAAAACGGAAAACAACTATTTTTTTAGTCGGGGTGATAGCAGATCCCAGGATTTGGTCTCCAGCCTTTGTTTTCTATGTTAAATACTTAAATCTATACCATTATACCACAATCTAACAACCTAAATATTTCTTTATTCCTGATTAATACGATAATACTTGTCCCCGGGTGACCGGCGTGGGGGAGCCGGATCGGGCGCTCCCCCCGCGCGCCCCTCCCTCATGTGCTACCTATTGGGCCCACCCACTTCTCCATCCTTTTTTCACAAAAAAATGTTTCACTTAGTATACTTACAATGTTTCACTATTTATAGATCTAATGTTGCAGTGAATTAAAATAATCTTTTGCAACAAAAAACCTACATATTTTGAAAACTCTCTATTAAGGAAATTTGGTTTATTTTTTGTTCCATCAAAAATGTTTCACCTAGTGTATTCACAATGTTTCACAATGTATAGTTGTAATATTGCAGTGAACTGAAATATTCTTTTACTATTTGCTAAAACATTGATTTTATATAAGGTGAAACAACACCCGATTTAAAGGAATGAAACATTTTCGATTTACTTAGTGAAACAATTCCGATATACCTGGTAGAACATTGTGTAATATTTAAAAATAAGTCAATAATAAGCTATTTTTTCGTCGGAATATATCTATGTGTGGTCTTGTTTTGAAGATTTAATTGCAACGAATTTAATGGTGCAATCGAATTATGATTTGGATAAGTAATTTAAGAGAAAAAACAGTTTAAAGTAGTTTTACACGTAAATCAGGAGCTGACGTCAGGCGCTGACGTCAGCGCCCGATTTCCCCAGCCCTAGATCGGGTCGCCCAATCCGTAGGCGCATCCTGATTAATGTGGTAGTTTCCGGCCTTCAAAACGAACATGATAATAGATAGATAGATGGATGGTGCTGATGAATGCTCCTAAATAATCAATTTATTTATGAGAAAGTATTAAATATTATAATTATAAACATAACCAATAAAAAAATGCATCCCAAATCTGTTTAGAACGGGACCTAATACAAGTTTTACTTCTTTCAAGAACAACATATAACCCTTTTGTCTTTCAAAAACAACTTATAACCTTTATTCTTTCAAAAACAACTCACAAGCGTTTTCTGGTGAAAGGACTTCCAAGAGTGCCAGGTCGGAGAGAAATCCATCTGATTTCGGTGACCACCAAATGCAATGCTTGGTCTGGTTTTTCACTGAAAGTCTGGAATGAAGAGTTGATTTGGATGTGCCAGCAGCTGAAATTTGTACTTTGTTGTGCATTAGCAACTGGAGTAGCAAGCAAACAGAAATCAGAGACACGATTGTGGTTGACATATTCTCTCATTTATCTACCAACAACAGTGATTTGTGACTTATTCATTAGAGTGAACATGAATCTGTCCAAAAGCTAGAGCACAGCAGCGCGCATCTTTGACGGCACAACTACACAAGTATATGACTATGGAGTACTCTTGAGGACAAGAAGTACTGTCATGAGCTTGTAAATGCTTCACCAAATCCTTTGTTTAAAAATCGCTGCAATAATATATTATATAGAAGAAACATCGTATACTTGTTGCCATGCGTCAACTTGCATCTGATTAGTTTAGACAGAATGAGAGGGAATGGGCAATGAACTAGAAAAATAAAGCATGGTGGATCATTCAATATTTCAATTCAAAACCCATGTGGTTATGTCCATTGTAATACAAAATCACCTGTCTGATCAGTTACTGGTAGTTTTTGTCAGCCGTGGCTGCATGCGTCTAAAAAACCTAGGCAGAACCGAGAGTTCTGTCAGCTGACCTTATGTTTGTGTCGGGAATGCCAAGTTGCAAGTTCGTAATTTTTACAAAACTACGTATACTTTGATTAAATTATCACAAAACTACGGATTTAATGTGATATATCACAAATTTACATATTTAGTAATAATTTTATCATAAAACTACAGGTTTAAAGTTACATATCACAAAACTATAGATTTAACAATAAAATTATCCCAAAAGTATAGGTTTAACGTCAATCTAATCACAAAACTTGGATGATAATAACTCAAACATAACATTAGTGCTAAGTATTGAATCCCAAAATCTGTAGTTTTATGATAATTTTATTATTAAATCTATAGTTTTGAGATACTTAACTTTAAACCTGTAATTTTCCGATAAATTTATTTTTCAACCTATAGTTTTGTGACACATCAGCTTAAATATGTAGTTTTGTGATAATGTGCAAGTGTGATTGTAGAGTTGTATTGGGCTGCATCAAATTCAAAACAATGTATATATTTTTTATGGAAACCTATTAGATAGCTTGATAATATTGAAAGAAATCGGATCTATTATGTCGCATAGTTTGAAATTTATTATCATCATTCTACATGAAGAAATATACAACATATTTTTCGGTGAATAGTAGGCTCATCTTTCTATCTCTTCTCTTTGAATTATCTTCGGTACAATTTCCTTCCTGAACAAACACCGAGGTTTCATTTGGCGAATGGGATAATGAAATAATATCCCACCCTCCAAAGGGCAATATTACATCCTAGCCATACATTCTTCATACCTCATT